CTCTCCCACCGACGCAGCACCACAGTTTCTTTAGAAACTTACTCCCTTTAGTCTTACTACAAGTAAGCCATTACCGTCCTATGTTCAATTATACCCCTAAATCTTAAGTAACCCAACTGTCATCAAAACCCTTAGCTTAGTTATTAAACTAGGAAATAAAGTGTCACGCGATACGCTTACAAGATTGTCACGACAAATTGTTACAGAGCAGGCCCTCTTAAACGTTTTCAATTAATTATAATTTCTCATCACACAGAGGATACTTACCACACTTGAAATAATCATTGGTGAGATCCTTAAAGTCTGGGCCATCTTGCTCTGGTGAAATGGAGCATTTCCCTTGTAAGGCTATTCCTTTCGTTCTGAGTTTTTTCCAGCGATGGTAGAATTTGCAGTCACATTTTACAGGATTAAATCGTAGGTCTCTACAGTGAAATAAAAAGAAAATAATCATGAAAGATTTTTTCAGTCTGCAATGATAAAGACCATTCAGAAAATAGGAAATCCGGCAGATTTAAATTAGACTAAGGTATGAAACATTTCCTTAAGATAAAATATATTAAAGTTCACACGGCAACCAGGTGGACAATCAGACATAGTTTGATGCTACTCTGGTTTGCAGATTTAATGAATGTAACCGAAGAAGTTACAATTCATAGACCCAACGTTTCGACACTCCTGTCTAGTGCCTTCATCAGGGGTCATTATTGCTGATTAGTGAGCCAAATAGCGGCGGGTTTCGAGTGCAGATACTGAACAAGATAATCGAAAAAATCGAGGTAACAAGGTTGGAACATTCTCGTTAAGTCTGTTGACCTATACGGGAGAAAACTTTGGTTCACTCAATACAGTATTGACGATTCACAACGCAGTCAATCTTAGCGCCCATATATTAGAAATTCGTGGGACAACGTGATAGTCGCTCGTCTAACTTTATCTTTGGCGGTAAAATTACGGTTGTCTTTAACATCTAGATCGAAAACTTGCTGGGAAATATTTCCATACTGGAAATGCTCGATTGCCGTCATCACAAATGATGGTCTAACTACTTCCTTTCAAATCACCACAGACCCTGCTGTCTGTTGAGTCGACTTCATGTTGAGAAGCATATAGAATAGTAATTTCCATGCTGATGAATACATTAAGAGGTACGAATGCTCCTTGTGTACAAGAGATCAAAACATTTATGTGCAACTCATAAATTTGCCGAAAACAAAATGACTTCAAGGCAGTCCTAAAATCAAACAATGATGAACAAACGGATAAAGTTTCGATCAATTCGTGATCTTGCAACCGTGTAGGGCGGGATTGATGTTTTTGTCATTAATTGTCCGCGAATTGAAAATCAAGCTGACTGTGTGACTGACTCGCCCGGTGATGACTTTGCAACCATGACCAGGTTTAATTCAGAGTTCCAAGACAATCTGAGAACTTTCGACGGTGACATGTCATTTGTCTAACAAAACAGAGTGATATTAGCCTTTTTTCACCTCTAGTACAACACGATCCTTTACCAACAGCTTCGTGATTGTGACGACAAGCCAAAGTGATTTGCTAATACCGGCGCCATCTTCAAGGGCTTTCATTTAGTAAACAAAAAAATGAATTATAATTTAACGATTTATCGAGAACTGTCAATAATAGGATAAGATTCCAACAATTTACATCTGGTTTGTTTGGAGGAATATTTCAAAGTCCCTTGGGCATCTAACAATATGAACAGCGGTCAAGATTCTAGAATAGTTGATCAATTGGAAATATTTTCAAACCATCAAGTGTATAACTCACCTTTCGTATATTGTGTTCGTTGTGCCAGAAATAAAGTGTTATGTTTGTTTTCAAAATTTCCCAGGCGAAACCTAGTGCTTAAGCCTCCTTTACGCTGTTAACAGTTAAGAATGTTCTAGGAGTAGAATTACTTGAATAATTATGAGATGGTTAGAGAGCTAAAAATGACAACGCTTTCTTTGTACCGAATGTTATCACCTTGATATTGTTTTGAGGTAGAGTATTTACCTTTCATAATAACAGAAGTGAATCCTAGTTCTGGCTTCTCCATTAATTTCGATTTGATTTGTGAAGAGGAAAACAATAAACATGTCATGAGAAATGTAAATATGGAGCAGACTTGCACTAATCGTACTGTTTTCCGACATGAACTGATGTCTTTCGGGAAACAAACTGATATTCAGCAGTTATTTTGTTGACAATTTGCATGTATTTGGCTCCTAAATGCCTCAAAATTAGAAATCTAGTCTCGGTTTAAATAAAAGCTCATGAACATCACAAGCAATACTGGTTATCTGTGCAAAACTAGTATCGATTTAGCGAAATATTAAATGACAAAAGTCAAAGTAAATCAAAATCAGCGTAATGATTCATATGTGAAGTTGACATCAATTAAATCATAATGATAAAAGTGAAACTCGGATAGCAGCCATTATTCACGTGTCCAAGTACTTTTGATCGAAGCACATGACTGGCGATTATAATAGAAAGACAAATCAGTACACTTACAAGCTTGTTGTGTTGTCTGGAAGCACGCTTGGGATCTCGGAAAGACCATGGTCTCGGCAGTCGACCGAGACTTGTTTGTAGTTTGTCGTAGTACAGTTGCACGATACTGGACAAGTACTTGATCCACGGGCAGCAACGATAACCAATGTAATAAACAAGAGGAGCTTTAATGCAAACGTGGCCATGTCAGTTTTTTACCTGTTTGAAAAATGGGTTGTTTGACGAATGGAGGTTAAGCTGAACGAGGAAATCGCTTAAGATAGCATGACTTGGCTGACAGCTTGCCGCCCTGGTTGCTTCTGATCTTACGGACAAAAGTGATTTAGGACAGTTCCAACGCCTCGCCGTCTTCACAGCTGAATTCGCTTGTGATGCTGGTGATTTTCACGCGCTAATGTTAAATTTGCATAAGTTAAAATTCATTATATGCATGGCACTGACCAATCGCTTTGTTTGTCAGTTATGTTCAGCTGTCTAGCTCAACATCCTTTGTAAAGCAAACTTCTCGTCGCTAGTCTGTGCGCCCTCATAAGAACTGATATTGTGAACGTTATCAGCAGCGACCAGCAATGTAAAATTTCATCAATGCAGCAAAGGTTAGCTAGTGTCACGCAGTAGATGAAATAACGCTTAAACTTAACGCTTAAATAACGAAATGCAATTTCGATTGAAAACGGCGGATGAATGCAGCGATTGTTCAAACTCTGATTACATCATCGCAAAATTTTAGTTTATCATGAGAATTTATTTCCCGTAGATTAAATCACATTTCTTTTCCGACAACCACTTCTTTCAAATAATCCGGAGCGAAAACATTGATTATTTGTTAATTTGATATTGCGTCTTTTGGTGTCATAAGTTATCAGTCATGCAAAGAATTTTAAGTATATAATCATGTCATTCATCAAACTTGAAAGTTTTCTTGAGATCGTTATCTGCTTTAGTGCCGCTAGCTTCTACTACAACGTAGGTCGCGTAAAAGAGAGAGGACTGTTGAGGAATAAAATATTGGAAAAGCCACAAAAACCTCAAAAGCCACAAAGCTGGCTAGAACAATCCCATTTTTAACACATAATTTAAACAAACATATCAACAATAGACAAACAGATAATTCTCTTACAAATCTTGTTTTCCTCTTTAAATTTGACTTTTGTAAAGAACTCAGTATCACCGGAGTATTTTCCGGTGTTTTGAAGGATGTCGTCTATCTTCCATTTAGCTAGCCCTATTTCTCTACATGTCACGACTCTTGTGCGAAGTTCTAAATTAATTCACCGATAATTTCTAGATAATTGGTTTAGATAGGATGATAGGAAATAACGTCATAAGTCCAATAATAAAGGTGTCTTCGGAAGTAACCATAGGCAGTAATAGATGATATAGTAAAAATTATCATTTTTTGTCGACAAGTACGAAACAATCATTCAGCCCAGTTTTTTTGGACAGTTGAAGACCTCATTACCATTTCTCTTTGAACAGCGCCCCATAATTTACATTTGTGGCAGACTTAAACAAAGACCATACAAAGACTAAGTAGCTGTGGTTTTCATTCGAAGACAAGTTAAAAAAATAGCTGCTAGAAGCGTCGCCCAGTTCTCAGAATATTATAACCTGAGGAATATGTTTAATGGTCAAGTGATGCCAAACACCTTTCATAAGGAGAATTAATGAACATTTCTGTAGCAATCGCGGGAGGACGTAATCACTGACTAAAATATTTCAGACATAAAAATAAAAGAGAATCCAATTCATTGAAATTAACACAAAGGTGGGAACTTAAGTGTCGGAAGGAGTCATCAGTTGTTGTGTGTAGCTGAGCAGGGGGGGTAATTACCACCCTTTTGTTAGTTGTATTCCCACAGTTAATAAGAAAATATCGTCGGCATACGATATCTAACTGAACATTCCACTAAAACAGGCCGCAGTCTGATAAAAAGAATGGCTACCAAGGTAATTGAACACTGATACATTCCCAACATGTCACACCTAAGAACACATGTTCGCAGTGCGCAAATACCTCACAAGTACAACATGCCACCGGTAAACTGAACATGAAAACTGTGATTAAATGAAGAATTGATTAGAATTGAATTGAAGACATTGATAACCTAAATCAGATGAAAACTCCTGATGCGTGTCACACCTATTAGAGCGGCAAGGACAAAGCTTTAACAGATGAACCGTGTATCTGAAAGCAACCAGCGAGAAAGGAACTGACTCCTGACGAAGAGTAAAGATATTGAAGTAAATAGTCCCGGGTATTTTCCATCACTGCTGTTAAGTACACAGCGAGAGCCTTGCTGCCTGTGCGGGGTGTGCATAACAATGTTTAACACACCTCGTCTTTGCACACTTCTAAACTAACTCGAAGGGGTTCTAAGACAAAGCTAATTCCTTAACACTACTATGAAACCAAGTTAAACAATCTTTTTTCAGTGATTCAAACATAGTTTATTTTCGTAAGATGTTTAAGATTACTAAATAAACTAAAACAAACTATTCTTCTGCGTCATTCTCTCCTGCTCTGTTGTTAGAGTGTTCTATAATTAAACCGTGGTGTAATTAATAAGTGCTGTGATCCCAAATGAAATGTTTGTATATAAATCGCTTATTACGGATTCTAATGGATCTTGTGATTATCAGGGCAGTAATCAATTGCAACCAACTTTACCAACAAAATCCTGCATTAGCTATTCACAAGTTTGAGCCATCATGGAAAAGAGTAAGCTCTTATTTGGGTTAGAAGCTGAAGGCCAACAAGATAACCTACAGTTATAAATAACAATCACTGAAAAAGCTTCATTTCAAAACGATCGAATGCTTAAGGGTGTCTAGCTCTTTTCCTCGGCTGTTTCTGTGGTGGAGTTTAAAGCCACAACTGAACGAGGAAAAAATTGCTTCGTCTCAAAATTGATGAAGACCTATTTGCTGCCAAAGCATACGTCTCACCTTCGAGACAACAATCCGCATCATTAAAGTCCAAAATACTTATTTCTTGAAGGCATGTTAAGAAATACAATGACCACTCCTTGACTACAACGAAAATAATCATGTTCTTATTACAAGTATGTTTAATCAGGCTTAGGTTAAAAATCCAAGCATTCTATTGAAATCACTCGTTTTCATTCTAATGATCAAATCAAGGCCCAATATGACAAGAAATTTTCCTCTTAGCAACTACGTATCGTGCTAAAATGCGTACGAAGTCAAACTGACATAAACTCCATGTCAATATGGCCAAGGAAAATAATTAGTTCTTTATTCACACATACTCTTTCCAATATTCCTTACAAAGACGTAGGCTTGTATAAATAAGATGTATATGAGGGCACCTCATGGCTCCATTTTAAGTCAATAAACTTTCCACAAGTATGCCACAAATCCTGACACAGAAAGTCCATTAGACCTTGTCAATTGCGAGCGGTGCCAGTGGACCGTGAAACATTGCCAACACCCCTAGCTCCTTGCGAATGTTCAAGTACTTAGAGCTCTGTATGTGAATCGCACGAACATCTGAAAAACGAATCCATATTGATCGGAGACAAAAGGAACACCAACATTTTTAAGCTCCATCAACAGAGCAGTACACCGCACTTGACAAGTTTCAGAACTGCACCCTCCGTTTGATGTCGAGACAATTCGCATACATCACTTGGAATTTTCTGCAAAAGAAAATAAGTAATTTGTTGCAACTAATGAAAAGCTATGAATTTGTCATTGCATAGGATCGGTAGAGTGCTTCCAAAATTTAAGCCCATGCATATGAGTTCTTTGTTTCAGTTTTTATGTCAAAGACTATTCACAAATGATTTATCAGGCAGTCAGAGTTAAAGTTCTGCGTCTGTTTCACTAAAAAACAAGAACAAAGAAGACAGCATAACAAAAGACGCGTTTATAGGTCGCCGCAAGCAACAGACATTAATGAGTTTCCTGGTCACTGAACAAAAAAGAGGCTTATCAGATAGAAAAAATACTTCACACATGATAAAATACCTAAAATTAAAAAGTCACACTTACTCAGCGCTTTTTCCCATATCTGCACACGAGCGTGTTCTTCTGTCAGCCAATTTTCTGGTCTGCTAAGGAGACTGTGCGAAAAACATTGCACAAGAAATATTTTGACTGACAGTCTACCCGATGCAATAAGTAGTTAGGGTTACTAGTGGAACAACGCAGATTACGTAATCACAACACAGCTACTTAATCTCTGTATGGCTCACTCCGCTACAAAGTAGCTGTACAAAGAATGTAAAACAACCAAAGATCCCACACAAACAGGAATGTACTTTGCATCAGACAGGATAAAGATAGTGTACCCTTAACTCTGATTTCTTTGGACTTCCTTCTATTTTTCACGGCGTCAATGATCAATATCACGTTCAGCTGAAATACATTACTCACTTAGAGCTCAAACTCAAACCGGTCACTTGGTAGTCACCAGCCCTTCTCGCCGGCGCCATCAATCCTCTGTAATATAAAATTTCAGTTCAAAACATTTGTTGCTACGAAACAAAAAGAAAGCTAACCTACGTGGCAAACGAACAAACGGAGAGAAAGAAGATAATGCGAAAGGCAAGGCCGAGGGGAAACAAAATTAAAAGCGCTATTATTGCGATAGCTTTCTAAGCTCACATGGGTTTTCTTTCTCTGTCTCACTTGTAGTTTAGCCACGCAGAGTAAAACTTGGGTGGAATGTCTTCCAAACTACGAAGCAAACAGTTTTTTCTAAAAAAAAAATCATCGTTCTGCAAATGAGGGGAAGAGATTTGATCTTAATCGATTAAGAGCAAAATCTACGATCAGGTCAAAAACTGAAAATGACGTCAGCGGTCAATTAGGTTCAAATTACGCTAAACTGATGTTACTTTACCTTTTGATGGTATCCATGGAGACATCAATTCCTTTCTCCTGCAGGCGCGCGAAGACCTCATGGCATTCTTCCGAGGCTACAATTTCTTCTTCCTTTTAATTCCATAAAATTCACTAATAAACGACACTTTGCTGACACAGTACTGATAGACTACACGTTATACTTCAAACGAGAAAACTAGTAATTTCACAATTTTCGGGTAAGTTTGACACATTTCACATTTTGTTTGGCAAAGAACTAAAAAACACACCAGGTTTAAGCAGTCCCGGTGGGAATTTTAAATATATTGTGCACATTTACTCTTTGGAAAAAAAAATTGTTCGGAATTTTAATGAAAAGTGTTTGCTCCTATCACTTGGACTTGTTTTTACTTGCAAAAATAACCACCTTAACATTCAAACACTTAAGTTTAGAAAATTAGCACTTATCTACATCAATTTGTCGTTTTTCATTGCCACTACCTTATTCCACGGCAGTGTGAGACTCTTGTTGTTGTTGTTGTCTTGTTTCGATCTTCCATGCTCTTCTCTCCGTTTTTGACTTTCCTTTGAAGCTGTAAAGAAAACAAATGTTGAAGCAGAAGTAGAACAGAATGAACAGAAACATCAAAATGAACATTCAAATGTTGGTCAAATCAAAGACGACTTATGTTACCTGCTGGTAATGGTGGCGGGGGTTTTTCCTTGAACAAGAATCCGTCTTTGAGAACTTTAGCAGCGGCACGGCTCCTACGAGCATCTTTGGAGCTACACGAGTTGGACGAAGAACACAGATAATTCATTGTAAAAAGAAGCAATTGCAGCACAGAAGCACAGAACAAGTAGTTCAATCAAAAGAACCGGTTGCTAACTATTCTCGCTGGTGAACAGAATCCCAAGAGATTGGTGTCCTGAGACTGAAAACACAATACCGACAATTATGTACGATTTCAAGATCAAATTGACTTGGCTCGATGAACTTTACTACGCGAACACAATAACGAGCCTGACAGAGAAAACTCCACGTGGGTTTTTCTACAGACAACAAAAAACATTGCCTTACTCTCACCTTAACTTGCCAACATGGGCTGAAGAAGGCCTGGAGCGGGTTTGTCCTCCTTCAGATCCGGTCCTTTTTCGCTGTTAAAAGATAATCAACTTCCATTCGTTCAGAGATCCGTAAAATCCCAACATTCCGTGCGGAAAATTATAGCTGGTATAAAAGCAAACCTATAAAGGAATTGCAATGATATGCAAAACACCCTAAAAACACTTGTCGCACTCAGCGATGCTTTCATTAAATGGTTATTATGTATTCTGATTAACACAAACCTGTCCTTTAGCAGACATGGCACGAGGTTTGCTACCTGGTGAGTGAGGTTTTTCTAGTCTCAATATATCTCCGTTGCCTGACGAGCGTTTGAGCGGCGCGGAGCTGGGCCTAGTAACACGATGTTTCTGTAAAGAGGAGTTCCATGTGAGATAACGGTTTATTTGAATGGCCGGTAATAAAGACAACCTACTAAACTATAAAAAAAACTTGATTGAACACCAAGACAAATCGTAAAGTAAGGTACAAACATACTAATAATTTATCATTCTTCAAGGATGTTTCTTTTGTTCTAGATTTCGAGTTCCTTAACTCTGTTATCAAAGCTGTGGTGGGTCTGGTAACTGTTCTGCACGGACATAGTTCCTCATCACCTGGCAGTTCTTTCATTTTGGCCAAAAGTTTTGCTCGTGAACTTTGAGCTGTTTTTCGAGTATGACTGAGTCTCGATTCTTTGTCGGTAATCTCTACTGCTGAGATTTCTTGTTCCTGTAGGTTAGCCTCCTTCATTTCCAAACCATTGTTTATAACAACTCCTGAACTTTGAGACCAAGCACAAGTTTGTACAGCAGGTTTGGCGACAATTTCCGCCTCAACACTGGAGTAAGTGGGGAGTTGAGAAGAGTCGAGGGGAACTTTAACGTCATCAACTTGACTCAAAACATCTCGTCTAAACGTTACAGATTTGAGTTTCAGATTGCTGCCCAGTGACAAATTGGTATCTGCTGCCTGATACAAATGGATATTGCCTTCAGAGCTTGACTTTCGCAGAGAAGACTTTGATGGTTGATCCAGGATACTGCTGTCACTTGAATTTTCAGTGCCAGACTGTCGTTTCTGTTTTAATTTATGTCTTTTCTTGGTTTTTGAGGTATTCCATTTTGGTAACGGCGGTTTTGTAACAACCTGAAAAAGTATTCAATTTTGCTTGAAACACGAAATCAAGCTCATCAAGGTGGAAGAAAACAACATTTCGCAGAAAATATCACGCAAAAATGATGCATATTAACGATTATGGAGTCGAACATGAACACTCTGCGCATAATTTCTCTTCAAATTGTAAAAAGGAGTAAAATGCAACTTGTTTAGTGGTGGATATACATGTACACCGTGAAGAAGAGTACAACTCTTATTATTCATTAGTCTCATTACTCATCACACATTGCGCAAATCGGCACATTTTCAACCCACCTTGTCTGGATCGGTGTCTTCTCTCTTTTCAAGCATTTCATGTTCTTCCCCAGTAAAGTCATTATGTCTTGGATTTTTTCGTTGGTCTCTTGAAAGGTTTTTCGCCACTAAGTCCTCCGGATTGAAGAATTCCATTGTTTTTCCTTTCAGTGCAAGAGAACTTTCGCTTTGTTGTTTTCTAACACGCGAAGTTTTATGCTGAGTCATATATCTTGCTGAACAGGCTCGGGGAAATCGGTTGGAAAGAGCATTCAACCTGTTCGAGACCTGAGGCTCTTCAACCCACATGGTTTCGTATTCGATTTCATGTTGTGGCGTTGTTTCTTGATCAGTGCCAGCGGTGCATTCTATTTCCATCTTTGCCAAAAGAACTGAAGGGGTTGTGGCGTCACAGGTTAATTCCAGATCTAAATCTCTTGGGCTGATTCGAAGCTGACTGATCTTTTCGTTCGTGCTTTTCAAGTCGACTAGCATATCAGATATTACAGCACTCTCTGCTTGACTTTTATCACATATTTTATGAAGCATAGACTCGCTCCTGGCAACATAATCAGAAGACACTCTGCCAGTGTCTAAGAGACTCGGAGTCTGTTCATCATCACTTTCGGTACCTTCATTACCTCCTGTTGGAATTGCGAACACTAAAGAACGCGAGCCAGCCGAAGATATCGACCTTGTCTCCTGAGATTCATCGACCAAATCATCATCATCGTCTTCCTCACTGTAAGCTTCTTCGGCTGATTGTAAAACTTCAGGCCAATTTAGTTTTGGTGACGATGGTTCTGGAGAGGCTCTGGGAGGTGGTGGAGGGGGATTGGTACTCTCAGAATCTTCATCTTCACAGAACGCCGCAGAGTATCGCCAAAGGTCATGCGGTGCCAAGCTGCGATCCAGCTCCTCTTGCTGACGATCAAGATACACTAATCCTATAAATACGTACGTGGAAAAAAAACAAACACATTAGAAAAAACAGACCTATAAAAAAAAAAAATTATGATTGTATTCAGGATATTAGAGGAGATGTATCCCATTAGTGTTTTGATTGTTTGCTGATAGTCAAGTTCATTCTACCAACCTTTGTAAGAAGTATCATCTTTCTTTGTTTCCCTGAGTGGCAAGGACCCCGGAGGTGGACGATGCTGAGGTGTAACTGTTTGTCCTTTTACTAAAAATAAATTGAATGTCATTCATGAATAAAATTATATTTGCAATCACAGATGACAACACCAATTGTAGTAGGAATGATAGTACATTGTTTTAAATAAATGTTCAGTGCCTTTTAAAGGTAAATGGTCAGAAGAAATATCTCAGTCTGTATTATTATCAACTTATGTATTTTTTTTTTTTATTGCTGATCACTTATTTTGCAAAAATTCTTGCCTTTCAAATGCATGACAATAAAATGATTATGATGTTGTCTTAGTGCCATTTGTTTACCTGAGCCTAATTAATTCTACCTATTTCACCAGATACCAGGAAAACAAAACAAAAAACAGTACTTTTGCCAAGCCTCCTGGTGAGTCCTGGCATCAATTAATTTTAGCAACCTGAAATAAATGCACTGTAGTTGTTTTCAGAGGGTTTCTGCCAGTCTTGCTTCTTCTCTGCACTCCTGGATGAATACACAGTAGATGACTGGGGCCTCCTTTTTAGTTTGGATTTCTGCCTTTCATGGAACTGTTTCATTATTTCAGGTACAGACAAGTCTTTCATGCTATTGAACAACATGAACATCATGAATCAATCAAATATTGTCCATGAGTTAAATCAACAAATAAACAGAAACAGCATTTACAAGTCAGTGAACAGAAAAACATTTGGCAGTTTCAGGCAGAGGAGTTTCTGTAGAGGTACTTAAATGAACCAATGAATAAAGCATTTTAAATTACAGAATGATGTGTTTGTACAAGAATTTGAACTCATTCAACCAACAGATCCTACCACCAGGTTACAACCCAGATTTTCCTTCTTAGCTAGTCCAATCTCTTCAAGTGCCCAATGATAAAATGCACTTAATTTAAGTGTTTGGGTTCATAAGTTTAAAATTCACATGGGTGACATATAAGACTTACAACTTACATGACTGTCAACAACCTCACGACAACTTGAACATTTTCATTGCAAATAAGACATTTACACAATGTACATAAGATGTGTTGGGTCACACATCTAACAGCTGAACAAGGAAAATACTTCCTCAACCCTTGACTTACCGGTATGTAAAAGAGGATAATGCATGCATGACATGATGTCACTTACCTAGCTGTCTCTTGGCTGTCAATGTGTAACTGAGGAGGCCCAGTTTCCAAACTTAAGAAGCTGTCTCTACTTTTACTCCTGTAGCTACACTGGCAATTTACTTCTCTCTCACGTGGTCCTCCATTCAGCCAAATTGAAGTCTTTTTAACATCTTTAAGTCTAGTGAGTGACTGATTTGTGTGATGTAACCAGTCCTAAAGATATAATTGTCACTGAAAATTAGGGGCTGATGAGGAATATGTAGGGTCAATGGGAAACAAATCTCACTGTTTCTCTTGGGGTCAGTCATTAAGTGTTGTGCGATTTCCCACAACTCAAAATAAAACAAATTAGAGGGAAGTTAAGATCTGCTTTGTTTAAATTATGAAAGTTCTCATCAGAATTTTCTTGCAGAGGTCTCTCAACCTCTTTGAAGCATCATGGTTGGCTCTGTCAATAGATCTCAAGGTTACATCTCAAAGGTATTGTTTCAATTATTTTTCAGTTTTTGTCAGAAAGCAGTTAGTTGCTATGACAACAAAAAAGGTTTCCTTAGCTGGAGAAGCCAAACAGATTTAATAATAATAATAATAATAATAATAATAATTTATAGACTTATATTGCACAATTATCAGTATAAGAATTTTCAATTGCGCATTACAATTAAATGTTAAAAATTCAACCCCCACATAGATACTAAAAAATAAAAAATTAAAAAAAAAATTAAAAAAAAATTAAAAAAAAAATTAAATAAATAAATAAAAATGATCACTAAGAAAATGTAAAAATATGAAATTAGATACAAAGAATTAAAAAGCTTTGGCAAATAAAAAAGTCTTAATGGCCTTCTTAAACTTGTTTAAAGAATGGGTGTTTCTGATAGAGCCTGGAAGATCGTTCCACAATTTAGGGGCAGCGGCATGGAAAGATCGATCACCAAGCGTAAAAAATCTATTCTGTTCCAAAAAATCTATTCCAAGTGCACAACTTGATTAGGTGCAAAGTTCAAGTTGTTGTTTCCTTATGGAGTTTGTGAGTTTTATTCCCCTGTGGTAGTTGGTGTGTTTTTACCCTTGCCACCTGACTCATTCTCCTCCAATAAGAAAAAGTATTTGAGTTGGCAGGTATAGCAATAACTTTTTCAACCCCTACAATTCTGTATCTTTCAAGGTTTCACTTTTTTTTGTTAATGATTTCAACCACTAGTTTGATTTAAATTTACATCAGCCACAGGATTTAACTGGGAGTTCGAGATCATTATCATCAAAAAGAAAAAAAAAAAGGGACAAACTGCTTTGAAAATGGCTCACGCCTGGAAGCATCTAAGGGAAACTGCAGTTATGTCTACTTGGTCAACATTAGAGGCATAAATCTAATGATAGATTAGGTTAGGACTTACAGATTTAAGAGCTTGAGTACTCTACAATCTTTCCAACATTTGAACTGAATGAAATCTCAGACTTTACGTCTTGATAATCAAATGCGTTTTGATTTTTGTGTTTTTACCCATGGTAATTAATCTAAAACGCCGCGGAACGTTTGAAATAAGCAAGTAAGAGTAACTGCTTCTAAATGAAGCCTATCATAATAATTTAGCTCAATGTTCCAAGTAGTTTATAGCTGGCAAAGTTTTTTTTCCTGACCAGAGACACGACCCCGCAAGATAAAATTTCTATGTCTACCGTGTTTAAATAAAGATAATAATAATGAAGATAAAGAAAGAAGGTAGCTAAAACATCTTTGATGTTAGTGACTCACTCTTGATGCTGGTGGTCTGTCGTAGTAATTCTCACTTTCGACATGTCCAGATTGCGCCATCATGCCAATAAAAACACCGCATTAATTGTTTGAGTTTTCAGCTTCATTTCTTTTATCAGTGATAAACAAACGAAGAAATAGGAGTCCTTAGATTGAATCGTAGTAACGGTAAACAAACCTTTCAGAGGTTTTCCTGCGCCATGTTTTGACACTTCTTCTTAGAGCAGCCGCTGATCAGGTAGATTCCATTGACTGCTGTCGATTTTGAAATTACTCGCACTGTGATGACCGAAGGAGACACTTCTCAAGGGTAAAATGGATAAGTCATTTCGGACATATGTCATTTATAATTTATGGCCCGGGTTGGTTATTCTAACCCTTCAGGGACCCGGATTCAGGCCCCTGAATACTACTAGTCGAGCCCTTCGTCCCAACATGCATTATCAGACAGCATTGACATTTTCTAAGTTAAGGCGGGGGTAAACCTGAAATTTGCTCAAAAACTGAGTTTTTTGTTTTCCTCGGAATTTGCAGCTTTGGGTATTCAACTTTGCTATGGAAAAATAATTTTCCACTTATTTTGACTATTTTTACCTTTTTGAGCGATTTCAAAATTCCCGCTCTGGCTAATGGTGTGGTTACCATGGCAACGAGAAGAGCATATTTTGATTTTTCAGTTGTTTATGACGTGTTATCCTGGCAACCAAGCTCCAAACGGGCAGGATTTAACGAGAGATACTTAATTTAGTCTTATCTGAACGGTTTTCTAGGGTCAAAACCATTATGGGATAGATTTAGAGGTAGTTTTGGTCGAATGTGACACTCAGTGTACTCGGAGCAATCAAAGGAAAAGTTATAATCAAAGGAAAAGTTATATCGAAAATGGTCGGAAAGAAAAGTAGATCTGTCTACAGGAAGAAAAGAAAGAGAAGTTTTTCTGGAAGGCGAAAACAAAACAAGAGTCTGAAGAAACAGCTCCCGATGTTGACGAAATCGCCGCCTCAACTCCGAGCACTTCGCTGGATGAAAATCAGCTCTCTGACTCGGACTCTAAAGAAACCGTTGGTTCCTCCAGAAAGAAAATGAAATATGCCGCTTCTTTTAGACAGCTCTGATGAAGAGTATACCTTCAATACCGAGGAAAGCGAGGGATTTAGATTAATAAATGAGAAAAATTTATCCACGGCCGTCTCAAAGGCACACGTGTGTGAGAAAGGTGAGAAATTTTTTTAAATCTCTGTCTTTCTCTGTTCTCGATTATGACTTATTTCCCATATCATATCGACCCATAGTTCCAGTTTTTCCCTGCTAAATACACTGATTTATCTATTAAATCTTGGATTGGGTAAGAGAAAGATTTTTAGGTATTGTGCATATACACTGTAAACAAAAAATTATGGGGAAAAATCACAGAATGTGTATTTCTGACTTGAGGTCTTTACTTTGCTTATAACAAAATTGCCCGATTTATCTAACAATTTTCACTTGATTTGTCTTTAGGCACCTTAACTCTTGAGGAAGATAAAAGTGCAAGAGTGGGGGTTACAGTTTTCCCTTCAGTGTAGTTCCTGTGAGGAATCCAGTCCACTTCCACCATCCAGTGGTGTGACCCAGTTAGGGAAATCATATGACATTAACCGCCGAGTCTTTTAGTAGGCTAAAAATCATGGAGAGGCTTTGTATCCCTGGTGGTGTTTGTACAAGAGTGGCAACACATGCAAAAGACAGTAAAAGATAGGCTAAGTCCGATTTGCAGGTTATGCAGAAGGAAAAGAGACGGCGTCAAGGGGAGCGACTTCTGAGGACTCGTCGAGAGGAAGCCCTTCGAGAAGCTGAAGGAGTTACTTATGAACCAGGATGTTTTTAAATTACTTTTAGATACTCCTGTGGACAAAATATGGACACTTGGGCCACTATAGTGGTTACATATTGTAAAAAATTAAGTTTGATTGCTATCTGTAAGTTTAAAGGCCATTTTCTCATTACGCAATAATTTTGTCTTCCAGAAAGGATATCTTGACAACAATTTATCCAATTGATCTGAAATTTTCAGCATTTGTTCCTTTTGATAAGTTTTGTGTTATAAGCAGAGCAATTTTCCATCTGATGTATGTACTTAAAGTTATGAAGTGAAACACCCCTCTGATTTTCCATGTCAAATTTAATTGATCATCATTTAAAATGTTTTCAACATATTAGAAATCCCTCTGCTTATAACAATAAGCAACATGTCTTCTTTGAATTGATACTAAAAACGTTATTTTTCATTAATTCCAGAAGGAGTTATCTTTTCTGAAGTAACCCCTGGTAGAACCCAGCAGGTGGCTCAATTAAATGAGTGGTATCCTATTACAATTGACATGTTGAGTCTGAAATATTTTTTTTCATGATCTTCAAGTCATAAGCTTTCCAGGGATATATAGTTTGCCTAAGTTTTGAATTAAGTCCTAGCTGTGAAAAATGAGTGAAAAATGGGCATTTTTTCAGGTTTACCCCCGCCTTAAGAGCGTTAAACGCTTTTAATCGTAGTTCCTACATCAAAGTGGAAAACTGGACCGGCTGATTATAAAAAAGTCACGAGAGAGTTATGTCACTACATATTAGACTTGGCTTGTCACGGAAACCATGGTTACGAATTGGTTGACATCCGTATCGACCCTTGGATTACCAAGGCATTCAAAGCTCGAACAAGTCTCCACATTCAGTTCAGCGAAGAACAGGAGCCATTGTACATAATTTGTTTAAGTTGGTTTGAACTCTTCGTGGTACCTGTAGGCGGCAAAGACCATCACACTTTGAAATAAGGCCTGAACGAGTTTTTTACATTTTTTTAATTTAAAAGTTTTCAGCTAAAAGAATCGAGTCATTTCACAAAATACAGCGAAGAAATTCATAGTAAAGAGGGTTTCAAAAACTTAACAAACAAGAAGCTTAGGATGAACTTTGTACAAATTACTTGATGCTACCTAACTATGAACTGTACTGTAAAATTAAATCAACAAACATATCTAGATCGTCATAACATTATTACCGTCAACAACTTGAAATAGTTATCAAAACGTTTTGCACCCTAAATGAGAAAGCAAAAAAATTACGATAACATTATAAAAAAAAAGGAAAAATTATTTTTATTTTGAACGGATGACACAGGAAAAACAACGTTTGGAACTTCAATTCATAATACTTTCCGTTTATTACAACTCCGTCAGGGCTGGATGGAGAGTTTGGCGTAGTTATTGACCAAACTTTTGCCCCCTCCGTCTGGTTTGGCTGACTAAAATTTGATACGATGATGAATGTTTTAAATGGTTAACGTTCTGACAACCCTCTCATTTAAATTCGTAAAAGCGTAGACATCTCGTCGCATGTTGTTGCTTATAAAGTCAATTATAAAAGTAGAAAGGTTTTATTGACTTGTATTAGCAAAAGACATTAAAATCCTCTTGTGCAAGATATTGTCTTATAAAAAGTTTCGACATTTGTTGTTTTTGTTTATCAACCATCCTGACATTCTACCTCAAAGACGTCATGGTATCACGGTTATCGACCGCCTTTTAAGGCAAATTAAATTGCTATTAAAGCAAGAGAGCCACTTCCATAATTGTGACTGACTGACTTAGAACAGTTACAGGTGTAAAAGTCTTCATCCTCACACTTCCAGTGTTAGTTTCACTTGTTTAAAAAATTTTTCATAAAATCCACAGGAATTGGGAAGATGATGGTGGAGTTCTTTTCAGCTGAGATGGTGTTCAGAGTCTGTAGATAACGAAGCTGCATCGCCGACGGTGTCTCCCCCATTATGTCAGCGGCCTGCTTCAAAGAACGTGATGATGTCATTTCACCTTCTGCAGCAATGACCTAAAAAACAGAGGGCAAGCATTCAGCTGTTTGTTTCATACAGCGCATTTGAGGGCGAAAACAACTTGAAACCGTTTGTCCCCTCAAAAAAATTGAATGGAGTTATACACCGAACCACTCAGTAGGGTTATACCTTAGCTTTAGCTTCCCTGGTAGCTTCAGCCTCAGCCGCCATAACACGCTGTAACTGGACTGGAAGGCGGACATCCTTACTGTAGAAAAACATAGTCAATGTTTATCTTTTGACGTTTATCGTAATTTTTTTTTTCATGGCATTTCACGTGAAGAACCAAACAGTCATGTTTAATCATACGATTTCACTAAAACAACAGTGCTTCATTGATGTCTTGTCATGACCACCAGATCGAACGCGTTTTACTTGAGCACACTTGAAAATCATAGTTTCATTATATTCCCGAGGTGAGTTGACCTTAATTGTTACATTCAATGTTAATAAGCTTTGCTTTAATGAAGTGGAGGTGAACTCGATGGCAAGAAACCTTACATCTCAACTCTCTCTACACGAACTCCCCAAGGATCAGTGGCGTCATCCAGGAACAACTGTTGAGCAGACATATGAAATAGAAAATATAAGTTAGAGTAAAGAAAAGTTGGAGACGAAAGTGAAATGATTGCTGCAAATATCGGGAATGAAGTGATAAGCAAACCTGCATCTGAGAACTCAAACCCTCTCTATCCATTAGGATATCGCTCAAATTCTTTGTACCGATCATGTTTCTTAAGGTAGTCTGAGCCAGCAGTTTGGTGGAACCCTGAGCGTCTGAGACGTTTGTAACCGACACTGTTGCATTCTGGATCCTGAAGTACACCACTGCGTCAACAGTGACTGTAACACTGTCACGTGTCAAAGCCTAGCCAATCAAATTAGACCATGTTACAAGAAACTATACCATGTCTTAATTAATAAAGCTCGGAATGTTTGAGGAATTTAAGGCCAGCCTAATGGCCTGAAATAAATCCTAACGTTCTTTATTTCAACATGAATGGATTCCTATTCCTAGAAAATTATACAGCCGACACCACCATTTGAGAAAATTTAAAATGAACGATTACCTCTTGAGGGGGTACATCAAATGACACTGTCCTCAAATCCACTTTGCTGTACTGATCAATCTTAGGTAGAACAAAAAACAACCCTGAAAATTTAAATTGACATGTCAGTCAAAACATTTGGCTTGGATACCCTAAACGCGTACAAAAGACGTTTTCCAGAAAAGAACGAGTCATATACTATGTCCAAATTCACGACTGGAAACAAAGACCTTACCTGGTCCCCGGGCCCCACCGGGGAGTATTCTCCCAAGTCTGAAGATGACAGCTCTTTCATATTCCTGCACTATCTGTTCAAATAGATTTGTCCTAGAATTCGTTATCTCTTAAGTTAAAGTTCAGCAAAATGCTTTGTTACTCTAATATAATTCACTGTATGCACTCACCTTCAAACAAAAGAACAAGGAAAATGGAAATGTTACCACGACAAGGATATAGCAAAGGACAGTAATGACGATCCCGCAAATTCCCAGTTCCCCTCCATCAGGTTGACTGGCTAAAATGTAAACAAGTGACAGCTGAGCGACACCTGAGTGACAGGTGGAACTCCACCCAAAAGAATTAAACTACGCCTTTCAATTTCATGCATTCGGCTACAGTGACTACCACAAGAAATTCCTTTTTACACAGCTAGAAATTCAAGATTCCAGTTGACTGATAACTATTTCGAGCATTTCAGCCCAACAACGAGACTGCGAGGAAGAGATGTGTTTTATGTATCAAACTTTTCTAACGGTTATACACTCTTTAACCTCGCCCGTATCAAAAACTTCCAGACAATCTTGTGGAGTTGAATTTCAGTAAATTTTCACCAACACTCAAATTATAAAACGAAAAATTATTAAAAGGAAAAAACAAAGGAAACACAAAAGAATGTTGCGGATGACCCCACCAATCCAAGATTACTTCTTAAAGACGACAAACATAATCCACAAAACCTCCCTGCAAAGTGTTCCTGTCTGCTTTGTTAAAAAATCTCAAGAGTGAGTATTCTTTTATTCTAAGCTCGACCTGGAAGACGATTAATATCTTACTGGTTGCACTACAGTTAACTAACTGAGTTTACAGTTGAAGACGGCTGTAGCAACGCTTGATTACACTTTAATGCCTGGCACAGAGAACAGGTTTGTACAGTGTAATTACTTTGGTCGGAGGTTTTTAATGTTCACGAGTCGCTCTCACGGCCCAAACTCTTTATTTCGATAAATTGTTAGTTCACACGGAAAGTCAGCAAACAAACAATGAGAACAGGTCGGTAACAGTACAATACCTAGAAGCTGGTGTTTGGTGTGTTTGGTAACGCATCGATAGTTTTTAAACAGAGTTCTCTAAGGCGTAACAGCCTCATAACTTCCACACAAACATTTTATCCCAACTCGACCAATTAAAGATGCGAGGTTTTGGATGGAGTATCATAAACAAATATTCCGCAGACAAGTGACATGAATAACCAGACGAAGTCTCTTTAAGAAAAAATCAAACGCAGCAAGTAAAAGAACATTTGCTCTCATGTTCCGGTAAATAATTTCAACTTACAGCTCATGCATTGTATGCGAGGAAGGCCTCCGACTTGACAACCTCCATGATGCTGAAGCGATTCCTGTGACATTTTGTACGCACTTGTGAAAGCTTCAAACTAACGCGATTTTCAGATGCAACAAGTTTGTATACATAGCTGATGATCTAACTACTGCCTGTCGGCCGGCACTGCCCACAATACCTGTTAAGGCTGTGACAAGTAAATTATAAGCACCTGTTGTATAAGGGAGGCTTGTTTGAATTTATCACGAACAAAAATAAGAGTTCATTCTTATACTTCGAAGTCAACACAAATTACCTGTAGTAAGAAATTTTCACAAACGGCACTAAATCGACTCCTCACTTTAAGAAAGAAACTAATATTTTTGTCTGTCGATCGGCACATTCCGAAGGTACCATGCAGCATTTTGCAATGATTTCTGCACGAAACAATTGCAATTAATAATGACCTATCACTATATGTTAAGCTATTCTTTACTAAAAACAAGCAAACAAGTACATTATTAGTTTTCTAGAAAAAAATCAAAACAGTTACTTTAATTCAAACTTTAAGAACTCGAGTTTCAAAACGATATCTTTATAATAAGCATGGGGTTTACATAAAGAAGATAGCGCATAATCCGGATTTAAATGTACTGGTACAGCAATTGAGTTCTCTTCGAGCGAGACCATCAAACAAGAAAAAGTATGCAGCTACTTGGCAGTGCAATTGGAAGAGCATTATAAACTGACAGCTCATCAAGTGTTTTAACGACTTTATATAATCACTGCTCACCTAACAATATCTTACGTGAACTCAATGTTCAGAGGGCCCAAGTTGTTCCGAGAGCCTTTGTCCATTACAGTATCTTGGACCTTGGACCAATTGAGCTTGCCTTGCACAATGATCTCCCCTTTCAACCCTTTTTTAAGTCGAAATATTTTAAGATAGGGTTCAGGTCTCCTCTCAAATGTGACTAGGGCGTGTAGTGAATTTTTTTCTGATGGGGAAAACCGCCATCTTGCCGACTCATTGATCTAAACAATGTCTTTCGCTTTACAGACTAAGCTAAGACGAGGACGGAAAACAACGAAAAAGTTGGTTTATTCACCTATTCATCACACCATAATACGTCCGGCTCTGATATCTAAGTAAAACATCACTTTTGGTTATTCTTTCTGTCTTGCAAGGGGGAAAGTTTAATCTCGCCGAATTGAAGGTTAAATAGAGAACTGATAAACATTAAAATTTACCAGACAACTCAATCAGTACTGCAGTTAAACCTTAAACAAAGTCAACCCTTTTTTATTACTAGTATTACTTACAGCTATCACAACCAAAGGATTCAGCATTTTTTATGACGGTTTTTTCATATTTGTTTATGCAGATTATTAGTTAGTGAGAATAGCTCGGTTATCGATTGTCGGAGAAATGTTTATTGGAAATGCCCACTTCACTTCAATAATAATAATAATGATAATGATAATAGTAATAATCACTAATATGAATCCTCTCTTATGATGACTAACTTTTCTCTGTCCAGCGGTCCGTAACTACAAGAAATGAAACAAACTGTCAGAGGGAAAATCACACTAAACCAAATTCACGCGAACCTTTGGGTTCCTCACCTTAAATAAATCGGGTTTAATTAATTTAAGCAGACTTGGCAACCACCTCCTCGCCAAGTTTCTCTAATATTTCTTGTCTGTAATCATCAAAATCGCCATCGACCTCGGTAATTTCCTGATTTTCAACCACCCAGAGTTGGCAAGAGGTCTCCAGGATCAGACGAGCATCGTGACTTACCAATATAACACCTGGAAGAATGCAAGAGTAACCCAGATCATGGTTAAACAACTTTTGTCCGCAAGTTAACCCACGCACTTTAAGGTAAATCAGCCTGCCAACAACTGCACTGTTCTAAATTAAGTTCAGCAAAGGAACTTTAAGACCGCCGAGAAATATTAAGTTTAGTCGTTGATTAACAAAACCGCGTCTTTAACAATTCTCAATTTGGCTAGACCTTTTATCAGAGTCTAACCACATATTTTCGTGAACAATGTCGAGAGGGCCGAAAGCTAACAGTGGAAGGACATTTATTTAATAAAATCAACCCTCTTATGGAGAAAGCCTGAGGCCCACTGATTCTGTTAAACCATGGTTTGTGTTGGACCTCGTGTAAATAACGACCCTAACTTTTTCATTTCACTTTACCTCCGGTAAACTCATTAATAGCATCGGCAAGAGCATCGATGGATTCTATGTCCAAGTTGTTTGTGGGTTCATCCTAAAACATAATGGAGTCTTCATTAATGTGATACACCCTATAGAAACCGATTGAGATTTTTTCGACAGCACTCTTAAGTTGTTTACGCATAGCATATACTCACCAGTACAATTACATCCGGGTTACTAAGTGCCAAGTCTGCGAAAGCCACACGTGACTTCTGACCACCTGAGAAACGAGCATGACTATTAGCTCTTCAGTATCAACCACGTTCAAATATACGATAACAGAGATAGTGAAACGAAAACAGAAAAAAAAAACAAATACCTGATAAATCTTTGGTTCTTATGGTATGAGCATGACTCACTAATCCAAACCTTCCCAGATGTTTCCTTGCTGTCTGATAATCAAGGTCATATTTCCTCTGCAAAGAGTAGTGGGGAAAACTTTAACTAAATCTGGCGAACGATGCACCGAAGGAGATGCCAATTTCTCTTTTAACTTTAAAATGCAATAACGTTTATAACATTTACAATTGTGTAACTTTAATTTGATTAATTACCTGGAGATATTCTACTGGAGAGTCATCCATACTCAGCTGTGATGAAAACAAAGAAAACCTCAGTTAAACAACAACAGATCATAGACTATTTCTTATTATTATAACATCATCATAATCATCGTTATCACCTGTAAAGACAATTACATTCAAAGCATATAAATGTATATCACCTGATCAGCAGAATGCTGGTTGTAAGATCCAATGCGCTATAAAAACAACAAATAGATGCCAGATAATTATCACTTGGAAGCAAATTAGACTTTAAAATTTGGAATATTAATGCTACAAATCACAAAACCAAAACAATTTTCAATTTGATCAAGAAAAGCAATGCAAGTAATAAATACACACCAATACATTTGCATATTTATCTGCACTTAAACAAAAAACACAGCTGTGATTTTACTTACAAGCCTGTGGTTCCGTACAATATCACCTTTTGCCTGAGACAAAATAGAATTCACAAACTTTTTGTATATTAATGGTCATTAACCTGTATAAGGTACCAGTACACGTACATTAAAGCACTGTAAAGTAGATTTTAAAAATAAATATCCCCACCGGTTCAAGTTCACCAATCAAAAGCTTCAAGAATGTACTTTTACCAACTCCATTATTTCCAACAATAGCAACTAAAACAGAAAAAAGGACAAAAAGTAGCAACAAATGGTGAGCCTAAAGAATTCTTGCACTATGTTGTAATCAGAGACATTAGAATTCAAGGTATTGTTGACAACATCTATGAACACTGTATGGTACAAGACATTCTATGCTTATACCACTGGAAAACTCTCAAAATGTCCTCCACTTACCTCTAGACTTCATGTCAATACCAAAATCCAGATCATTAAACAACTTTGGTTGATTGGAATATCCAAATGTCACAGCTGTTTACATCATCACCATAGTATCAAGCCATTATAAGAAAAAAGTAGTGTAAAGTTGTTGGAAAAAATAGCTTAGATTATCACTTGAACCTGCCCTTCTATTGGATTATCATGCTGTCATTCATTATAAAAAACAAAGAAAACATCACAAGATCTATAAAAAAAAGGCTTTGGAAGTTACAAGTATTACAGTAGGAGCTCTTTTGTAAAAGGCTATCAATGGGTACAAAGTTCATTAATTAAATGCATCAAAGTTAGCAGTATTTTTCCTGAGAGTAATATGCATACTAAAATTGATGTAATGTTCTGTGATTGTTTCATTATTTTGACTTACATTTTAATCCCAGGATAGGTGGATTGAGAGGTGGTGGTGAAGGAAAAGAGAATTTCACCACATACTCCTTAGGTTTTTTGATAAGTTCCATCTGTTCAATATCATCCTGTCAAAAATGAATCAACTCTATTTTCAGTGAATGTTAATACTTAAATCAGAAAATAAGGGATCATAGTTCTTGTAATTGATTTTCTTTTTCAGAAATGATGTGATTAATTCTCATCAAGACAAACAGCTTCCCTCCATTATCTATTTCAAAGCAGCGTTGATCATCACCTACCTCTTCCATGTCTTTCTTGCCCCCTTTCTTGTTTTTTCTTCCTTGAGCTGCTTTTGTTTTCTCCTCCTATAATTTCATACTTTTTTTTCAGTATTCAATCCAACTGGCACAGTTAGGTATCAAACTTTTACCCATCCTCGTTACTGACAATAATAACACAAGGCTCCAAGTTCTGAATATTGCTCAACTTCATATTCCAACACAATAATATTCTTTAATAATAGACCCTTGCTGTCTATTAGTTTATTGTCATTAAACCAGGCAGGTTTTGTGAGAACTCTTAAACATCCAAAATGAGTTATTACGGTAAATCAATTAACTGATGAAATTTGTCAAACAGTCAGGGGCTTGGTGATTCAGTAAATGATGGGTTTTAACCAGTTAAGGCCTGTCCAGTGTATCTCATTCATTTACAATACTTGACATCAAAGTTAAAATAAAAGGAAAGTAAGTCTTACTGCTTGCTTTCTAGATTGACCAGAAGCCTTCAGATCCTTGATTTGCTTTTGCTACAGAAAACAGAAAACATTCCATCATTATGTCAATCTTGACACGAACTTGAGGCTAATTTTGTATCCTTAAAGCGCATATTAAGGGCATGACAGGAGTCAGTAAAAACAAAGTGTATAGTACCTGTTTGTTGTATGCTTTTTCCTGTTCTTTAACTTTTTGTAAGTACATCTTCTTGAACTGGTCTGAAGAAAAGAAGATTACAGTAAATGAGATCTGACAGTCAATACTTTACCTGTCTTTGAAGAGTGAAAACAAAGTATTAGATCACTCACTAACCATAGTTTCCTCTGTAATAGTAAAGTTTTTGTTGATCTGAAAGAATATGAAAACAGTGTTAAAGTTGCAAATGAAAATGTTTATCAACAACATGTGCATTACTTTGTCGAAACATACCTAAATGAATGATATCAGTACAAACACTGTCCAGAAAGTACTGATCGTGAGACACAACTAACAGAGTCTTCTTCCAGTTCTGTAGGTAGCTGATATAAAAAGAAACATGTGAAAATAATTATCCAGTTTTAAAAACAAGGGTCAAAAGAGATAAACACTGATCTGAGAACAAGATCATTTACCACAACAGAGAACAAACATACATCAATGAAACTTTGCCATATAACCCTTGCTTGTACAAAGATATGAGTTTTTGTTTAATATTTTAAAAGAATACTTTATTCTTTACATCTTTAATACCATTGACACAGCTAGCAAGAATATAACCTTGAAATTTGAAACAGTATTGGTCATGGCTTAGCTATCATACTTACTTGTCTAACCAAATAACAGCATTCAAGTCCAAATGGTTTGTAGGTTCATCCAGCATGAGAAGAGTTGGTTCCATAAAGAGAGCTCTACAAACAAAATGTTTTATAATTGGAATTGAGAGGCTGGTATTTTTCACCTTCCAACAGCCCCTCAGAGTAGTGAAAGTAGTGCATATTTACCAAACAGCAAATTGCCAAGTAAATATCTACTACCATTCAGCTCAGTCTATGTTTGTGATTTATTGTTCACTACAGCTACAACAGTATCTGGATCATTTTTACATTCACTACCTTGCTAGTGACACTCTCATCCTCCATCCTCCAGAGAAATGATTGACAGGCCTCTGCTGCATTTCAGTCGTAAATCCCAGACCCTTATAGAAAAAGACACAATCAATTTATGAAGCATAGTAATATCATCAACACTTTTTTAATAAAGACTTAACGCAAAAGTAAGATGAGAAGAAAGTGCTCTATTGGATCATCTTCAAGTTTGTTTATGACAGTGTGATTTCCTTCCTATATGAATCTGGTTTAAATATTATACAGTACAACTATAATCAGCCATCTCAGCTTTATTGAAATATTTTCAATCTCTAAGTTTTGACATGTACTAAAAATGGTTGAGTGCCATTTTAGCAAACTACAATTAATGTGACTTACAGCCAAGATTCTTCGCACCCTTGATTCAGCAGAGGCTGCACCAATAGCTTCTAATTCAACATAAACCTTCAATGTGTAATAGAAGTACCTATTACTACTTTGTAATATCTATATTAACCCTCACATGTAGCCATGGTGTATAATGATTAAAAAAAATAAGCAAGGATCAGATTTCTCAATAATAAGAAGGTTAGAGACAAAAAAATAGAAAACCACTGACATCAATTCCTTAGATTAACTTACTGAATACTAATAGAAGTCCTTATTCAATAAGAATATATTTATTGAGACACTAAGATGAATCTCCCTGGACATGTTATTCTTTTCTTTATCTGAGAAAACTTCATTCCTTGTAGATCACAGATCACACTAATGTGAGGTAAAAATCATGGGCCACATTTTTTAAAATAAATTTTGACATCCTATCATATCTACATCAATTAGTTCATCCAAGGTAGAAAGGATACTATATTGAAAAAAGGAGACAAGGATACAACAGTGTTCAAGTACCTCCTTTAGTTTCTCTGTAGCAGCTTCGTCTCCATTTTCACTTAAAGCAACAAGGTGAGCCTCCTGCAACAATAGGCTCATTTAATATTATTCATCAAAATTCACTCACTTAAACAGAACCAGATGGAAAAGTATTTATTTTGTAATTAAAACTGACCTCCTCTAGAAGCTGCAATCTTTTCTTGTCTGCCTTTAGGACCACATCAAAGGCAGGCGACTCGCTGGCTTCAACATCTGATAATTACAATGAAGAGAAGTTTCAGATTAACCCCTCCTGATATTTTTTTTCCAGTTGTATTCTTTTTTTTTAATTTAGAAAAATTTCAAACACCTAACAAGAATTAATGGAAAATCCTCAGGGTTTAGCAGATCAGTCTACTGTCATTGAAAAGGTTTTCATAACTTAATTTTTATAAATATACTGCAAAGAAATAATTAATGATAAATTTTCTCAAAATAGCATGTTAACAATTTCTTTTAACAAAGATATTTGCAAAGGTTCATAATAAAAATCTCAAATGCAGTAAATTCTAGAAACTAACATGTTTGTTTACCTCCTGAAGTTGATAGAGAAAAATTAGACTTTATAATTTAATTTCAAAGATTAAAAAAAATATCTATCATTTTTCATTACTTTACCTTGTTCACAGAGTAGGACATCAATGTTGGATGGGATAGCAAGCTTTCTGGCTGCAATATGTGTTAAGAGGGTTGTCTTTCCCATACTGAGGAAGTAAATTGATACCTATCATATTTATCTCTTGGCATTCTTGTCATAGAATTTAAAACTATTCAGTAACTTAGGGCACTGATACAAATCCATAATTTCTATGTTGAAATTTCTATGTAGGGGTAAAATTCTATTGAAAACTTGACCACTAGGTTGAATAATAAAAATTTGGACTCACAATAACTCATACACGTACAGCCATATTTCTAGCTAAAGCTTAAAATTCATCTATAATGATCAAAAAAAGAACATTAAAGATAAAAAAAGGCAATTACTACACCACAATTAATGATGATTTTTTCCTTTTAAAAAGTTGTCTTCCTGACTTCATTTGCTACTGATTGATTGTATTTGAGTGGAACTTTGATCAGCTGGATCAAGGGAGTGACATCAGTCAATTGCTGCTTGGATTTGAATTGTGTAAACTTAGCTTATTTTATACTAGGTAAGACAAGAACTAACTTCTCTCTTACCCATTTGGTCCAACTAAACCATAACGCCGACCAGCAGTAATGTTAAGATTTGCATTAACAAAGAGATCTTTACCGCGGGCAGAAATACTGAACTTCTCCACCTAAATTATTTTGAAAAAAATATGACAAAACAAATTGCAAAAGTGATTGCTATTTTTTTTAATGAATGATGAGCTCAAAGAGGAATGTTTAACTGGTATGTGGAATAATAAGAGAGGCCTTCCTGACAGTCATCTCTCTGTAAAGGCCAAAGCATTAACCCATAATTATTTAACCCTTTAACTCCCAATATTTCATGAGTAATTCTCCTTACTATATGCCATGCAATTTAAATGATGTTAGTTTGGAGAATTTGGAATTGGATCAGCCAATAATTTCCTAATTGATATTCTTCTTTATTCTCATTACTTGTCTGCTTGATAATTGATAATGTAAGGAGAAATTCTGTCTAGGTCACTGGTGGGACTTGAAGGGTTAAAATAAAAATCAAACTACTATAAAATAATCTCTAATTTTCTCTACAGGATGTAATTCAATAATATTAGATTACGGTACAAAATACTGTTTGAACATTAACCTTGATGTCTAGAGCATTTTCAAGAAGAGAAGTTTTAGCAGCAGAAGACTCTTGCTGTGATACAGAAAATTGGGATCCTGCCACTTCTTGTGTCTCACTCTCAAACTTTGCCTATAATGTAAATTGCAAGGCACAGTGATCTACAGTGTCAATACCAAAGAAATTTTTATAACTGATAAAACTATTCATACATACTGCCAAGATATCAAAGGTTCACAATTTCCTATCACTAAAATTGAAAGATGAATTTTCTGTGCAAACTACAGGAAGGAAAACATGTTTTTAGGTTTTTTCAAGTTCAGATGTTTGCTTTTTTTTGCTTGTCTGTAACCTTAATTAAATATAATTATAATTTGCTTGTTTATAGTTAATCTAATTGCTTAAACCTGCAAGATGTGATTCCTGGATATTCGGGGGTAGACAAAAATTAGATTAATATTGCTTTTTTTGTCATTTCTTGATTAAAATGGGAAAAAAATCTGCATACTGGCAATTTTCAGAAAGTCAAAGCTTTCCACAGATACATCCTTTCAGGATTTCCCGAAAACCAGTGGGAAGTGTTTCTGCTGTTATAGAGTATTCCTCTTTTGGGGGTCACTGCTGTTTGAAAGTCTTCAGGGTCAAATGAAATACTCATCACTTATACATGTAAACAAACCAGCACCTTCTTTTTAAGCTTTCTCTTCTCCTTCTTGCTTAGTTGTTGTACATCTACTGAATCCTCTGTAAATATGGTAAAGCAACAATGAAAGCAACTACCTCTTAAACCCATTACACCCAAACAACAGTAAAAGTATTCTCCATACTTTTCTCCTCAACTTCTTTAACGGCTGATAACTTTCTTTATTCTCATGACCTTACTGCATGATTCAGGGGTGGTATTGTCAGGAGAAATTAGATGCTGGTTTGAGGGTTAAAGGGTTAAAAAAGTAAATGTAATTCATACTCTACAAGATAAATTGTGGGTTACACAAATGGTACAAACTATCCCTGCATCCCCAGTCTAAGTTGCTTTAGGCACAAAAATTCTCATTTAGTTTTTCTAAAAGGTATGGTCCCGTAAATTGAAAATATGTGTACAATCACATAACTTATACATCATTAGATATTAAATGAATACACAAAGCTTAAGAGATTAAGAAAAAGACCAAAACCTTAGATGACCTGACAGTTGAAAAATAAACTTAACTTTTTAAGTTCTCTGTCAGAATCCATTTTGTTTATCTAAACCTCGTTCTTTAATCTTAATCAGAACTTATTTCGGTTCAACAGATCACTATAAGAGAACTACTGATCACGTGTGGCCAGTATTACTTGGCACGCTCACCAGTTTACCTGTATCCGCGCATGTAGGACCTTCTTCAGGTGGATTATAATTCATGAGAACAGATTCTCCTTCTTCATCATCTCGTGTACCAGTTTCAGTGGAAATCGGTTCTCCATTTTTACGTTTTCCTGCTGATGCAGCGAGTGAGTCATCATCATCGTTTAAGTTCAAATTAGATAGATCGGTTTCCTCTTCTTCCTGTTCAGCCGCCTCTACCGCGGCTGCAAGATCCAGTTTTTTCTTACTCTGTGTGCTCTTTTGCCCTTTCTTTTTCACCATTTCGAAATGATACAGAGTCTGTTAATCTCGATAATTGACATAGACACTTCTACTTGCCTCGGCCAGACCGATCTATTACACCGTCAGAGGATACCGGTGGAAATATAGAGCAAATGAGAGTCCGCTGACAAATTTGCCCAGGCTTCTGCGGCCTGTTTACTGATGACTGTACAAAGGAAACAAAATGGCCTCTGGTGGATCAAAGAAAAAAGGTGGAAAACCTGGAATGTTTGAAAAGGTTTGAACTTGAAAATAAATTTGAAATACATAAGAGTGATTCTTAAACCATCTGATACTAATCTTACTTTTTTTTATCCACGATATCAGTGGAATATCGATGATCAGCCAGTCAAGATTGATAAGTGGGACTGTAATGCTGTGAAAAATGCACTTGATGATGCGGCCAAGAAGGTAATGCGGTTGTGTCTCTCTCTTTTAGTTAATTTTGCATATTTTCAAAAATTCTAAACGGTCAACGCAGTTTGTCGTTCGAAGACTGAAGTGTATTGTACTGTTACACAGCTTCTAACTTGCTTGTTCGCAATAAACCCTCTCCTGTACCACACTATCTTCCTCTTCTTAATGGAGTAAATTTTTCTGAATATGAATCGTCTGGCAAATAATTTCACTATTTCTCAAATATTCTTTCCCTTTTTCCATCAGTGCGGGTGGATGTTATTGTAGGTAGAGGTTCTTTTCAGATGATCTTAATTAACTCTGTTATTGCTGTAAAAAAATGGCTGTACAGCTGTAGTACATCCATGATGAAGTCATCAAAACTTAAATAATTTGAATTGACCAATGAGCGCATGCCTGAAATTGAACAATAAAAATGAAACAAAGTCCATAATCGTGTGCGCTAGGGCATAAGTGCCAACTAAGTCCTTTCTAAGGTTTTTTATCAATTCCATAAATGCAGAAAAGGTTGCAACTGCCAGTCTTCATTAGCTGTTACCTTGACAACATTGCTAGGAAAGATGGAATAGAATTAACAAATAGAGAAGCCTTGACTGTACCCTGTTCTGTTGTAAAACAAGTAGGGAGCGGCTAGAGCACAAAAGAAGTGTCGGTAGGTTAGAGGGAAGTCTAAGAAATGGTAGGACATATTAAAATTTGGCAAATGGCGTGACAGCTTCAGCTTAGCTCCATGCTTTCTACTCTGATAGAGCACGCTCTTTCAACCAATGACAACATGTGTAATATCCAAACTTTATCTTAAATTCTAATGGTAGGATTTCCATGGTACCAATAACTTTAGAAGAGAAGTGTATCAGCCAACTGTCAAAGGCACAACTCACAAAAATAGCCAGGTTCAAATCTTTGAAAAAGAAGAAAAAACTAATCACAATGGGGTGTCAAACACATCACATGAAGAAGACCAGAAGTATGCAAACTAAACATTGCTCTTGTCAACTGAAGAAATGAGAACAAGAGATAGCTGATAAAGTCTAATCATTAATCAGGCTGTTATGTATCAAAGAAACCACTTAATCTTTCCATAGAGTTGATTCACTTCTCCCTTTTAAGAGGTATTCTATAACATTAGTAATTAAAAAGGGATGGATCAAGAGGCACACAAAAGCAAAACAAAAATAATTGCAGTTTATCGGCAGTGATTAAATTATTTAAGATATGTTTTGGTAAATATTATATTGTTTTTGTATTTTAGGTACTGACTGAAGGCTTTGGATATGTTGAAGACTATACAAAGACAGATATTCGCTTGGCTATTTGTACCATTTCTTGCTGCTGTGCCCTCACTGCCTTGATATATGACTACCTTTACCCTTTTCCAGTGTCATGGCCGATACTGATCACATGTGTGCTATCGTATCCACAGAAAAATAGTAATAGCAAATAAAATTTATGCTTAAATCATAATTACCCCTTAAAAGTAAACCAAGAATATAAAAATTGCTTCTAATCTTTCTATGTGAGTTGTAGAGTGGGGGAAAAGATAAGTAATTGCAATTCTTCACTGTCTGGTCCAAAGGTATTAAGCTAGATAATCTTGCACAGATAGTAGGTGGAAAAATATACATGGAACTAAGAAGAGGGAGGTGAGAGCTTTTACCAGGATTAAGCATGCAATGTACTTAATCTGCATTTGCATTAATAGAAAGTGACAAAGTTGTTATCATTTCTTAGACCTTCCCAACTTTTACTGATTATTGCATATGAAGAACACTTTACTTGACTATCAAAAGATATTTTTTTTTGATGACTGTGCTAACCATCTTTACCACGTTTGTTGAAAAGAACTACATAATGTTTGCAGTACAGAAAAGTGAAGCTGGGGTGGTAAGTGTAGTCACAATTGTATAGTATAAATGTAGACACCATCAGACAAGCAATTGATATATACCCTAGAGCTTTTGGTGTGTGCTTCTAATACAGTTGACTGATAAATCTGAATACAGCATGAGAATTCTAAGATGGTAAGAAGACTAAGGTCACACTCAGATCAGGTACTTGGTCAAAGTGCAACATGTTTCCCCCAAAAAGAGTTGTAAAACTCCATGGCTCTGAAAGGTTTTTGGGCTCTTTAAGGGTAATTTCTTACCTGTAAAAAATGTTCCTCAAAGTTTCCCAAAACAGCTGATGTCTCCTCTGATATTTTTTCTTTTATTTTATTTTTCCCTTTTTGATTGATCACTACAAGGTATTAAAAAATGTTCAAAAAACTGATTTAATCTTTTCAGAGCTTGTTCCAATTCTTGTAAATCATCAGTTGTGTAACCCTTTCTGTTTGAGCCCAAACAGTTTGGTTCAATACACTTCCACCCATTAATGTTATAGATTTCAGTGAAAATGTTGATAGACTGGAACTTGACCAATGATGTACTGTAATGACTTGATTTAGTACCCTTCTTCTAAGAAGCACCCCCTTCAAATTTTTTTTGGTCAATAAGCACCCCTATTCTCATTAGCACCCCTATTAAGCAAGCATCCTCATTCCAGCAAGTACCCCCTATTCCAAGAAATGCCCCTGATCTGTTTCAGTAATAACACTCTAAGTGTTTGTGGTCCATCTTCCTCTAATTGCTCACTTAAAGCCTCACAACAAAAAAAGTTGTATTCATCTCAGTCTCATCAAAACTCTGTCTCACATTCCACTGTTTCTCAAAAAAAAATTATAGGTGCCCTGTTTTAAAGACACCCTCCCTTGTGGTATCAGAAGTAAATAAGTTCCTAGGGTGCTAAATGGAATCAGTAAAATAAGTTGAAAAAGTTTGTTATTTTTCCTGTACAGAGCATTAATCAATCACTGTTTTCATAGGGCCCAGATCACTACTGGCGTTTGCATTCAACTCTGAAACGTTATGACCACAACTATTCCCTCACTATCATATATAAGGATGGTGACACTAAAAAAGAAAGGCAACAGACCATTTCTAAGTATGATATCTAACTATAAGTGACCATTAATGCACTAATGTACTGACAAGCAGACAGGTACTGATAATGAAGAAAATTATGGACTCACTGACATGGAAAGCATGTGAATATATGAAAATGACGTGTGAACTGCGGATTCAAAATTAATATGAGAGTGATCTTTGCAGTAATGAAGAGAAGGCCTGAAAAAAATTCAGGCCCATATGGGATTTAAACCCATGACCTCTGTGATACCAGTGCAGTGCTTTACCAACTGAGCTAACAAGTGATCTTCACAGTGATGAACACCACTAAGCAGGCCTTATTTTCACTACTGCTTAAGAAGTATTCATCACTGCAAAGACCACTTTCATATTCATTTCTTAATCTGCAGATCACTTATTTGATATTCACAGGATTTTTATAAACCACCATAATGACCAGCTCTCAGTCAACAGTTGCCACTTTTCTCAAGGGAAACACTGTCTGGAAGGCAGAAGGATAACTAGGGACAGATTTTTTTTCCCTTTAGGGTTTGAGATACTTATTAGAACCTTTTTTTGTAAGGCAACGTGAACAAATTGCAAGGCAAGATGGCTTATGAAAGATTAGATCAAAATGCATTTGTGATTAAGTGTCGCATTTAGCAAACTTTGTGAGGAAATACCCAACTGGATTGTTCAAATGTGTAATGCTACAATTTCTTGTGATGAGAGAATTCATGCCATTAAGGAAACTTTTCTTATTTATTTCAGGTCAGTGGCTTCATGGTTTGATGAAGAAGGGACACTGCTTAAGGATATCATGGAAAAAGATGTTCGTGAGCTTCACAATGGAATTGCTTCAGAAAAGAAGGACAAATGATGTCAACAGTACCTGCTTTTTAAGTAACTTTATGTAACTTAGAGTGTCAAAAGTAAATTAGTTGTTCATAGACAAGAAGAGATAACTTGTCACTTTTGAAACACTTTTGATTTAAACACTTAGCACCTACAATAAAACTGACATCAGGTGAAATTTTTGTAGTTGTTGTGGGATTGCTCAATGTATTTTGCTACCCTTTTGATCAATGATTTTGTCTGTGTCTTTGAAAGTTAGAGAACATATGAGAGATTTTATCCACAAAGAAGGAATACTAAAATCAGGTTCATACACCGAGGAAATCATCACACTCCCTGACTTTCATTGACCTTTTCAAGTTCTCTTTTGAGAACAGTCTTGTGATGTAGCCCTTTTTATTGATTTCAAATAATCACATGAATGGTTTAGTAGTTTTCTGTGACCCACATTCCAATTCCACGACTTTCCAGGCTTGGGTAATGGTGTTATGGAATTCTATGAGTTTCTAGAATTTGCACGACTCATTCAAACCCTGAATGTAATGAACCCTTCACACCCCAAAATCAGAATAAAAATTCTCCATACTGTACTCCATACATTTCCTAATGAGCTGAAAAGGATAATTTGCTTAACAATCAAGAGCTGCGTTGGTTAGTGATCATTTCCTTGAATCTTGTGACCTTAATGTGTGACTGAAGGATGATATTGTAAGAAATAAGATGCTAGTCACTCTTAGGGGTTTAAGGGTTAAGTATGAAAGAAAATGAAAGTTTGAAGCAATTTATTATTTTTTTGCTGTCCATTCGCTGGTTACATAGTGAACAATACTTCATTTGCTCATAATATTCCATATCTGCTTCTTGTTAGTTGGTTAAGAAATAGACCACATTTGTATATGTTCACTGGCTTAATAACCTTTATAGGCTTAGGGTTGGTAATGATGATGCATGTTGCACCAGCTGTTGCTGATCAAACATGGAGAAAACAAAGGTAAAGTGTTTGAGAAGCTTAACTTTTTGTTCCCTCCACAAAATTTCAGTCAACCTTTCCAGTTTGCAAGACAAAGAAACAAAAACAAGAACAGGTAAAATACCACTGGGGCCTAAAAATAGTGAATAATATCATTTACAACTTTGGTCATTCTGGGATTTGGCTGCATCTGTATTTTACTCTCCTGAAAGTAATTAATTTCCTGCAAATCACCAAAATTCATTAAAATTACACACCATCAGTGTGTCCAAACCATAAGTTTACCTTAGGCATTTATAATGCATGACCACAATATAAATTATACATCCAGAAAAACACAGCACTTTTCCATTCTATTCTTCACTCTGCCAGTGCATTAGTATCCTAGCTGATGGTTCCTTTTCACCAATTTTGTTCTTTAACTCTTATTGCTTGATTTCAAGTCACTAGAAAAAGCTGGTAGGTCATGCTTCAGCATGATTTACATTGCAAACTAAATTGTTAAGAAGCCACATAGTTTATGTGGTCATTGTCTCAAAAGAAGAAGCAACCATACTCAACCACATAATGTTCACATTGAAATTGTTTATTGAATTGTTGTGCTATAAATCCTAAGAGTGATTTTAGAAGAATATTCCACTTTGTAACTAATCTCAGCGTACATCTAGCCTTGTAGTCAACTAATGAATCGTACTTTAGAGTAATTACAAATCAAATTACAAACAATTCTATGGTACATTCTGTAAACCCTATTATAAACTGAGATTTATTTTTTTAAACTTTTAGCGCATAAGATGCAAAAGAGAGTCTGTGTCAAATTCTTCAACAGGATTCTTTTTCAGGCCTACCTAGAGGAGACACCACAGTGTATCGTGCTTCAGGTGTCAAAGAGTTAGTCATTTTTGGAATTGTATCTGACCTAAAAAACTGAACATCAAAGCTTTCTGAGTTCACTCCCTTAAACAGAAGCATTCAATTTAACACAGTCACTTGGATTTACCAAGAATCCATATATTCATAGTGTAATATCTTCTACTAGTTCTCCATTCACCACTGTACTATAAGTGTACTTGTATCATGCATTCTACTAGACAAGGTAAAAAAACCATGACCTTGTACTTTCCTGGATGTTCAACCATCAAAGTATCAGTATCCACACAGGTACATCAATCAACCCAGTTCATGACTTATCATGCCAAGATGAAGACTTGATCAAACAAATTATACCATAAAGCCTGAACAGAATCTTTTCTTGATTTTAAGATGATTCACACTACAATGTTTGAGATAATCAATATATAATGAACAATTAAAAGTGAAAACAGAATTAGAGGTTTTGAAGGGTTCATATCAATTGATAACATTAATGCCTCATCTTAAACAGTACCATGATGGACAGGGCACAGACAGGTTAATTTCGTGATAAAATTACTTAAAGCTAACCATATCAAGTATAGTGTTGCATTCTCTTTTATTACCAGAAACAGACACTTGCATCGCCAAAAATACTTATTAAGCGCATCATGCTGAATCAAAAACTCACCTGATATGTGAATACTTCTTACCACACACCACAAAGAATAACTTTGTGGTAATCAAAGTTTTAATCCTAGATAAATACATCTCGTAAATTAAGTTAAATGTACAGAAGGACTTTTTATGCACCCCATGTAATCACCAACATATTAAGTATTGTTGACTTTGTATCTTTGCAAATAACCCTAAGCAACATGGTTCACCTAAATAATAACAATGGAAGAGGATTTACGAGCCAAGTAATGATTACAGATGAAAAACTGCAAAAAAAAACAAACAAAAAACTTCATTAAAACCTTAACAGAAGAATGTCTAAGCGGTGAAAACCCAATATAAAACAGCCCTCGTCTCTTAATGATACGAGTTTACTACTACTCTAATAGTAATGGGATAACGTTCCACTTCGGTCGATCATATTGTACCTGTTTCAGTTTTATTTATTTCTCAGACATTCCACGCACTTCGCCTTCACGTCGTAACCTAACTAGCTCTGCTTTGGTTTTCTCTTCAAGCTCTCGTATATCTTCCATGGTCATTCCGAACCAAAGATCCAACCAACAAAACAATTGCCGGTGAAAGTTAGTGAGGAGTCGCCTCACAGCCTTAAAGATAATGCTCTGTACCTTGGTCTGGAGGCCCCACCATTTAAACTGTACTTGGTAGAGCTTGTAGCACGTCATTTTAGGCCAATGGTCGTTTTTCTTCCACTCGCCTTCACAATCAAGAGGACCTCGCCCAGTTTTCTCGGAGTGAAATTTAGTTGGGTCCTCATCTTCCTTGTAGTCCGATGGAGCAACACAATTGTTGTCAGATATGTCAATATCTACCACAACTCTGTTTCCCAGTTCTTCCGCCGTTAACTTGTGCACATTTTCCTCGCCTTCTCCTTCCCTATGCCATGTATCGATATAGATATAGAAATTGTCCGACATGTACGGGTTTGAATACTCCGTCCTGCAATACGGATAAGCATTCCACGCTTTTTCGTGAACTTCCAACGAACCCTTAGGTGCCAAAAGTCGAATTACAGATGGAACCTTTTTCGATAAATGGAAAACTTTATGTGTGTACTGTCCGCTCCCATACTTTGCGTGGTCTGAGTACGGTTCGTTTACTACCACTTCGATTCCTTCCCCTCCTCCCGTTTCGTTCTTACTTGCTTCTGCAACAGCGTACAACTGACCAATTTTATATTCTTCGACAGATACGGGCAAAGTTATTCTGTACTCCTTGATTTCCATTGAAATTTACTCTGCAATCGAAAAAAAAGAGGGGAATGTTCGACAATCAAATACAGAAAATGTCGCCGGCAAGCTGACATGTGCGTTAGTGGTCTTTACAGGAGTGACGTATTACGTACCATAAGGCCTTGCGAGATATCTGGCGTTTAACGTCATCAGCCTTGTAAGCAACTCACTTCCTGTCCCGATTTTGATGTCTTTTATGTTGTAGCCACCGCATTTTTAAAAGTGCTTTTCTCTACAGCATCAAGATAGCACTAACACTCTCTGCACTTCCTTTTGAGGAAATCTTCTTGAAATTTTTGCATTTTTCTTATAAAAATTTTACTTGGGAAAACTAACCTAAGTTTTCAGAATTTTCCGCGAAAAACTGTTACGTGGTCACATGCCAACCCATGAACCAGTCAGAAGGCGTTATCAACTGTGTGGCCTATGAACAAGAGTTCTGTTTCGTTATCGGGCCTCTCTCCTTCAGTACAGCAATTACGTGTGACTACTTGAAATCTTGTTTCACCTCTTAAAGGGAAAGTGCCTGCATAAATGGACACGCATTCAGACAGTCTTGCGACAAAGATGAAATGTTACCGATTTGAAAATCAGACATTTTTCAAGAGGAAAAACGTGCTGTCTATCAAGTATTAATCAGTATTGATGAGGTGTCGATATAATGGTAATTGTTTGTTGAGGTTGAGTCAAATAAATTTTAAACCAATCAGAGGGCGTTATGAACTATGCCGTCAGTGCATAAGTGTGCTCTTCCAACTACTACCTCTGCTGACTGCGTACGCTAGCAACATCTTGGGGGGGTGCAAGTGAAATGCTTTCCAGGATGACGTCTTCCAAATTAATTTGCACGTCGCTTTTCCTAGCCGTTGTTGCAGCGGCATCACCGATGCTCCTTAAATTAAACGATCTCTCTCACTCAGTTTGGGGAAATGCTCTGCCATTGTTTTGGACGAGGAATCGAAACTTTAATATTTGCCTGCTGGTAACAGGTTCTCTCCTCTTTGCCTACCTTATCCTGAAAGTATGGAAGTTTTTATTTCACCCGTTAGAGATGCAGCGGAAACTCCACGACATCGGCTATTTCTCAGATGAAAAGCGTCCTCTGAAAGACGTTGCTAACGAATATCGAAAGCGAAGAAAACGTGGCGAGGTTCCACCTGTGTACCCTAATGGCTGGTTTCACGTACTCGCTTCGAACGAGCTAGCCATGGGTGAGGTCAAGTATGTTTCTATTTTAGGCGAAGATCTTGTGGTGTTTAGAGGAACTGATGGAATCGCGTATATTGTGAATGCTTATTGCCCGCACTTGGGCGCTAATTTAGGCATCGGTGGACAGGTGGTGGGTGACTGTCTTCAGTGTCCGTTCCACGGTTGGAAATTTCGCGGAAGCGATGGAAAGTGTACGGATATTCCTTACAGTGAAAATATTCCTAATTTTGCGCAAACCAAAGCATGGAACTGTTGGGAAACTAATCACACAATTTACATTTGGTATCACGCAGAAGGAAGTGAGCCTTCATGGTATCCTGATGAAATCGAAGAGATTCAAAACGGAACTTGGACCTATCGAGGCTTTACTCAACACACTATCAATGCTCACATCGAGGTAGGCTTTACTTTGCTCATGTTTTTATTTTCGAATTTTTAAAATAGCTGCGACCAGGATTTGTTATGATATAACTTTGCAGCTCATCGATTACATGAAGTTCGTTCACATCTTTGAAACACCTTGGCACTTATTTTATTGTAATGAAATGTTACTTACAGGGAGAGAATGAGGTACTTGAAGGTCATGACTCAAAAGGATGATGATTATTATTATTATTATTAAATTTAAATTTATACCGCGCAGTTTCTATAAAAATATTCAACTGATTACTGGTACTTTACTTACATGTTAACATCATTTCAGCTTTTGTTATGAAAAATCTGAAAAATGGCTTGCAACCTCTTGGGAACCAAAATTATCAAATATAGGAAAATATGGTTTATTCAACTATCTTTTCATTGTGGTAAATGTATATTTATATCAAATCAGGTGGAAAATTCGGTGACTCATGAGAGATGAAATTAAAAGAACGTTAATAATGATTCTTAACAAGTGATGAAGCTAGATTTCTAATTTGATTTTGGACCTATTATAACAAGCTGTTAAGATCATTGTCCATAACTTTGGAACTGATGTGTGATCCCTTGCAAATTTTGAAATTGATTTCCAGCTCATTTATTTTTTGTTGCTTTGGGTTAGTTAATTGTGGATTGAATTATTTGAAAATTGCACCAAAATATTGTTTCTGCATGAACTTCAAGAAGCAAAGTTTTTCCATCAAGTTTCTTGAGATAATTTATCACTGTGATTTTGTTTTTAGTTAAAGTTCTGAGATATTCAGTGTCACAAATTACAGTTATAAACAATACAGTTGTACCAATCTGTGCTTACAATGACTATATAGCATCCAAATATGACTAAGAAGTTAAATGGATTTCTTCGCTAATTATTTATTGTATCATGATTTGTTTGAATTAAAAGTGGCATTGGCATAATTCAAACCACCTTATGTTGCATTTGAAAAAGTTGTCTTCCTAATTAGCCTCTTGACCCTTTACACCCCAACATCAGTGTGCAAACTCTTCATACTATGCTCTACACATTTCCTAAGGTGCTGACAAGGAAGATTTGTTTAACAATCAAGAGCTTCTTTAGTTGATGAGCATCTCCTTTATTCTTGTGTCCTAAATGTGTGACTCAGGGATAATAGTGTAAGGAGAAATTAGGTGCCAATCACTCTTAGGGGCTAAAGGGTTAATTTAACAATTTTGTTACCTCATAAACATCTGTTTTGTCAGCATTTAGTCTAAGCTTTAATTATTATTAATAAAGACAAAATTTCTTTTGGTTCAAGCCCAGTGATACTTAGGGCTTCTGGTGATGATTTCAGACTAAATGTCATTTGAATAACATTTTGAATGTTTGGAAAGATTTATTTTCTGTCAAGCTATAGCTGATGTTTTGTTGCAGAAATTGGCTCTATCTTCAGGGGGTTAGATCTCTGTTATAACTCTTTTCTGATTGTGATTACTAAACTTAAACCTAACCCTAAGCTTAATTATTGGTATTATAATTGCATAATTAACTGTATCCCGTATGTATTTTCACCTAATATGTACAAGTCTGCAGTCCCATAATGACTGATGACTTCTTTTTTGTCACTGGCAACTGAATCCAGGAGATTCCTGAAAATGGAGCAGACCTCAACCACCTTGATCATCTTCATAGCTCACCAGTTCTGAGTGGGGTTGATCTGAGGCATATTTTCTCACATTGGTGGCAATTTGCCAGACACAACTGGTCTGCAGAATGGAAACCTCTTGAGGATACTAAGCATGTTGGATGTCTGCAGCTAGTGACCTCCTTATCAGTCTTTGGATACAAGATTCCCTATTTAGACATACATGTCACAGCCAGGCAGGTAGGTGTTCACTTTCAGTTCAGATATAAAAGATTCTTTATATATATATATATATATATATATATATATGTTAGTGTCGGGGTTAAATTACTGTTGTGACCTGATAACTTCTAGTAACAAATTTTTTCACTGAAACAATTTGAAGGTTTCATGAAATTGATACCACAGCTACAAATAAAAGATATTTGGAAAAATGGTGATCAGAAATCTTCCCTGAAAGTGCCTTAGAGAAACAAACAACCTTTTTAAACATAGATAAACATGGCAATGTTTATTTATAATTTTCTTTTTTCCCAGACTTACAACTTCTGGGATTCCTTATGCTTTGGGTTTCTACGGCCAGCCCATGTACCAGACAATTGCATTACAAAATGCAACCTTAACCCCTTCAAGCTACTTTAAATGAGTAACTTGTGACTTCTCATAAATTCAAGTCTTTTTTTTTCAGTAAATGACATGTGCATATTTCAAATTATTACTGACTCGGTTTGTTTTATAATTATTATTTTTTGGATCTTTTCCCTGTCAGACTGGTCCAGGTCTGGTCTTCATGAAATGGAGCAGCAGCTTTGGTGATGGAATTTTCCTTCATTCAGTGACTCCCAAAGAACCACTTTTGCAAATCATGCGCCACTCCATTTATGTTTCCAGAGGTGTCCCCACAATAGTGGCCAAGTTTCTCCTATATGCAGAGGCTATTCAGGTAAAATCTGAATTTTTTATTATAAGCGCTGTACTTGAGTTAAATGATAAATAGATCATTAATAATTTGAATTATTAATTACTGGGAGTAAACTATTCTTCTTTTAAAGAGCCCATGACACGGATTTTTTTTTGCGTAGTACTATAGTTTATCATATGTACAAACCAATCCCGATAAAAGAAGAAATACAAACAAAAAAATAAAATCTCGGTTTTTTCGGGCCTCAGAGTGCTCATTTTGTCTTAAAAGTGTCCTGTAGACTGGTAACGAGTTAGCGGGTGATGACGTCGAAAACTGTGAAAACTTACAAATCTCTTTCATCTCTTGTAATTTTGTATTAGTCAGCGTTGAAATACTCTTGAAATAATCCGATAGTGATGTATTCCTACCTTCAGCAGACTCTACCGAGATTTTTGATACATCGTAATTAAGTAGTAAAGAAGAAATGGAGGTTGAGTGTACGGTTCAGCTTGCGAACGGGAACCGCGTGCATCAAACGAGGATTTCGACGAAGACTGATGAAGACGGTTTCTCGCCTGCGGTGTTCAGGTCAAGATTAGAACGGAAAACTCCCATTGCTGAATGTTTATTTCGTTGCGTTCATGTTTTGTTTTCTGTGGCGGAGTCTATATTAAAAATTGGAGGCTGTGTTTGTTTCTGTTACCATAACATATTCTTCCTTTGCGCTAAGTGCGGCAAAGGTTCCCCTCGGTCAGCGCTCTAGAGTTTCGTTGCTGAAGAGTAATTCCCTCCGCAAACCAAAGCTAACTTTTGACGGAAGATTCGAAATAATCAGCTGTATGACGAGGCACAATGATCTTTTTGGCCGAGAAGTCATCGGGCAGTTACAGTGCGAGTTGCTCCTTTCCTCAGAGATTGCAAAGGCGGAGGCTATCACCGTCGAGCCGGTTAAATGGAAAACGATTGAGTTTATTGTCCTCTGATTCAATTTTATCTCAAATAGGCATTTATATTGGAGGAAAACGTCTTTATTTTAGATACAGCATTGCCACATGACCCATTTCGCTTACTGGCAAATAACCGATATCAGTGTTGTAAATGAATATTTTCGATATATTTCGATGCATCGACTTTCACATACCACTTGGATTCGCTACCATCTAATTCAATAATATTTGTGTTTCACAATTTATCCCATTGTTGTGCTGTTATCACAATTATATTGCTATTGTTGCTTCATTTAGTTTCTTGAGGGCGGGGGATCAATGGCTCGTGTGGTGGATTTTCGGAAACCTAGGTTAGGAGAATACACGGCCCCTTAGTTGTCAGTATCCTCCAGAGGTTTCGCACCATTCAGGCAACAGGATGTCGGTCAGCTCAGGAAAGGGCTTGACCTTTATTGTAAGGGATGTATTTCTGCTATTAAAATACGATGGAAACTACGAATGGTAGGATTTTCGTACGAGAAGAAAATTGCAAATCTAGTCATGTGGAAAGACAAGGAGTTTGAGTATGATCGTATCTCAAGCGCGTGAAATAAACAACAGTAAGCAGCTCACCATTCTTCGCTTGCGAAATGTCAGCTGAAAAGAATGTGGAACAATCGTATCCGATTTGGAAACAGGCACCTTAACCAGGATTCTCTCTGGCTGAATTCATTGGCCATCTTCCCCTGATTTGACCAGTAGTGTGTGTTCGCAACAGCCGTCTTCAAAGTCGGGATGGAGCATAAGGTCGACGACTTTGAAAAGTAAAATCTCCTCGATGTTTACGATCGAAACGCGTCCATTTTGGCCATACAGCTACATCCTTTGGATAGTAGTGTGTAGAAATAACCGGTGTATATGTATCATTCTTGTACCTAAAATCACTTGTCGACACCTAGCGCTCCGGCCTCGTAATACATTCGTCCTCTTTCCTTAATCTCTCATTTCGCCACCATAGTTGCCTACATATCTTCAGAGTTTTCTACGTCACAGCTATGTAACATAATCGTTTCGGCCGGGGTCACTTAATGGCCATGTACTTCCAATGCGCAAAAAATGGTGTAGGAGAACTCGCTAAAAGCTGAGGTCAATTCTTTTTAAGTTTTAAGTTTCAAATACGGCTATCAATCAGAAAACGCAAAAAAAAAAAGAAAAAAAATCGTGTCATTGGCACTTAGAAGAATTCATGAACTGAATAAAAGGAGAACTGTTCTTATCAAAATCATCGTACCATTTGATACAAATTGTACCATTCGTCAAAAGGATCAGGATGGAAAGGAAATGTACATAGTGTGGCAGATAAGAGTAGTTTTATAAATTAGCAATACAACAGTTGAAGGTGCCTCAGTTGATTTAGAGGAACAACACGCCTAAAGGCGATTTTGTGGGATGCGTTTGCTACTGAACGTACCATTCATTGAAAGGTGCACGATTAGTCATTTAGATCAGCCGAAGAAATTATTGTAGAAAGTTTTAGTGTTGAAGAAACTGTGACTGTTTATGTAGTTGAAAATAGCGAAGAGTGGCAACTCAAAAACCTTTGGACTTTTCTGAAACAAATTGGAACTCGACCCAGTGATCGTCTCGTGTTTATGCCAGTATCCGCTAGAGGTTTCGCACTGTTTAGGCAACAGGATATCGGTTGGCTCAGGAAAAGGCTTGACCTCGGTAAAAGCAAATACCATCTCCGCTGACAACGACTTCTTCCTTTGAGGACGTATATTTTAGGCCGTCGTGATTTGTTTTTCAAAAACGTCAATATGAGTAATTAAACAGGCTGTACACACTTTAATACAACTAAAAGACTGAACTGAGTTATTTCCTAGCGAGCTGTAGTTAATTTTGTGATATTTCGAGACCATTGTCGATTTCAAAATAGACCTTACGCAAGGTGAGAGATTAATGTCGTTCATCTGTAGATTTGATTACATACTTTCAAGTTAACCACACAAAAAAGTACACTCATCTCGGAAAAACACAACCTTATTTAATGAATATGGATTAAGGCGTAGTTGTTAGCTTGTAATTAGTGGTCTTACAACAATGCAAGGTTGCTCTTATTTCAAAAGCTGAGATCCACGACTATGATAAACATCCAACTCCGCAGAATAATTAACGTAAACACAGCCTACAGAAACAGCTCAAAATATTATCCTGCGTTTATCGAATTTCCGTTTGCAAAATTCGTCAAATTTAGCCGCTGGAATCCAAATCTTTCCTCGCCTGCACAGGCCGAATTCGACTATTTTCCATTCTATCACAGGCAGCCCAAGCTCCAGCTGTGAGATGGTCATCTTCCGAAATAAGAGTCGTGAAGAAAATTTCAGAGTTTGTATGGGAATATTTACGGCCGCTCTTAGGAATAAAAGATGCTGGCAAATTCTCCATAAAAATACCTCACCTTACTTTCACAGTGCAATGCTTGTTTTGTGACCGTTTACTTTGTTTCAACGGGGCCATTTTAGCGCGTTATCTATTTCTAAGTTTACTACTCCTAAGAGAAGGACCTGGAAATGGATAACTCGCCAAAATGGCCTCCTTATAACAAAGTGAGCGGTGAGACAACAAGCGATGCAATGTGAGGTATTTTTATTTATAATTTGACTGAATTTTAACCTCTAAAGAGCGGTCGTTAATATTCCTAGCCAAATTCTTATATTTTCGCCACGACTTGTATTCCGCAAGATGATCATCTCACAGCTGGAGCTTGGGCTGCCTGTGATTCTATGCCACGTTTCGCCTCAAAGTAGATCAATATATATTTGCATTGTAACGCAATGATCTTTGCTTGGACGGTTTTCTCTTGCTTGTATCTGATGAGTGTTCTACCTCGAGATGAAAATACCTTAGAACGCACTTAATGTGACCGCTAGTCAGTTTAATCAAAGATATGCGCAAATAAATTCCACAGGTCTTCTTTGACACGATTATTTTTGTCCGCCTCTGATCAATCCAGTAGCCCATGTTTACATAAGCTAAAAATCGATGAAGAATTTAGGCACTCCCATTGGCTATCTTTGCAATTTGTCCATGCAATAGGGAAGAAACCCAGGCGGATTTCCTCACGGAATTAGGCGTTGAAAAGAACATCAGCCAAATACCAGGAAACAGCAAGTTAGGTTATGAAAATAAGTGTTCCGTGATCTGTAACTATTCAAACCTATAGCAACATGGAATGTATTTGTTTTATCTGATAAAAAAGCAAAAATTTGTTGAGGATGACTTCATCTACGCGGCTGCCCTCCAGTAGATAAGTAGGAACCAATCAAAATTCGTATATAATCACAGGCGTCCCAAGCTCACGTCTCGAGACTCTCGAGAAAAGGGTGCGTGTACATGCGCATTCTCGGACACGTATGTATTTATTCATGAAAGCGTCGCGCTTTGTGTTACGAGGAACCCGTCATAAGGAATTGTATCGGAACCGAAATACGGACGATTTACAACGCCAGAAATTCCGAAACTCTTTACACCCAAGATTAATAAAAACTACTCATTCTTTGTGTTTTCTGGTGATCTCTGCCGTTTTCGGCCTGCTTTGCCATCACCGTTATTCCTGGAAATTCTCAAATAAAAGTACTGCAATAAAATCCTCCATTAGATATTCTTTATCTTGTTTACTACAAAATGTTCGCGAAGACCAAACTATGTTTTACAGTCTCGGGTGGTTGGGATAATTCTCGTTAGTTATGCAAACCGGAGACGCAGTCGATGGTTTGCACAACGTTTTCGAATTCTCTCAACCCCTCCTCGTGTTGGGACACGGAAAAAGTTCCATATTGCTTAACTGATAAAACGTATATTTGCTCTTTAATGCTTAATGATTTCGATTTAGAACACATTTTATTTTTCCTACAGGTTGAACGTGATATAATGATTTGGAATCACAAAACGTACGTGCCAAAGCCACTTTTAGTGAAAGAAGATCACTTAATCAAGAAACACAGACGATGGTACTCACAGTTTTACTCCGAGAACAGTCCTCGCCTTTCAATGAAGAAAGAAAACCTAGATTGGTGATACCATTAACTGTTTCTCGTATGCTGTTCTTTTTCCTTCAACCCTCTGGAAGTTGTTAAACTTGTCTTAAACCTTTACACCCAAACATCAGTACGCACAGACTCCATACTGTTCATCATACACTTCTCAAGGTGCTGACAAGCAGAATTTGTTTGTGGTGAAAGGGTTAAGGCTGCATACGTGGCTAAAGTTAAGCTGAAGTAAGTTACCAGCTTAAGCAGTCATGACAGGAAAGGTTTCATCGAAAAATGAATTTGTGGTTTTGTGTTAATTTGTTTACCGTCGGCAACAGCACCTGACTTCATCTGTTGTGTAACATTTGAAAGCGTTCACTTTCAGTCTAAAATTTTGTTGATTTGTCGTTGGTACTCTAGGTTACGAGTAGTCCCTTCTTTTCGGTGAAGTCCGTCGCGCAAGTCAAAAAATGTAAGCGTAAAAAAGAAACTTAGGTTAGCTCACCGCGCGGAACTCTGGAGGTGAGGTGCACGGAAAGTAGCCGTAAAAAAGGGACCATCTGTGTATTGGTATTAATTTTCTTTGACTGTGAAAAATTTGGTTATTTCACTTTTCTGTTTTGCAGAGGAGCGCTAAGAAATGTTGTAGAACACACGTGTGGAAGTAATGTTCTGTCCATGATATCATTTGTTTTTTCTCTGTCATATTTTCTTTGTCGCCGCCGTCGTGGTTGGCATAAGGTTTCTACTTCTTAACGGATCGAGCTCTTGATAAGTCGAAAACAGAGGTTACGTTGATTGAAATAGGGAAAAGTACTTTGCACTTTTCTGCGTGTTGACGAAATGGCCTTTTTAAACTGGGAAACTGAACGTCTCTGGATTTCAACAAACAAAGAATAAAACTAAACAAATTCGAAAAAGAAAAATGGAATAGAAAAGAAATTTGCTTGCCATACGGGATTCCAACTCAAATAACCGTGATGCATCTTGGTGGTAACATTTCTAGCATACTTAATAAGGATTTTGCGTATGGGCATCGAGTTGCCGTTATGTATTTCTAAGGCCTTTTTGCAGCTTCTTTGATAACTGTAGATTAGATTTGAAAATTTGAAACAAATCCTTTGCAGTTTTCAGCTGCAGAACATTGTAAATCATGTCCCAATATCTTGACATACTGTCCTGGCAATGCCGGCCATTGTTTTGTACTTTAAGGCTGAACAAAAATAAATAAATAAATAGAGAGAAAATTCCAGCAACTCTACGCAGAACTCAAACAGTGGCCATAGTCTACAATTATTGTAATTATAGCCTCCTATGTGCAACATCATTATCATTATCATCATTGACATCTATGCAATGATCAAAACACTTAAGCCTTTAACTCCCAGATCAAATTTGTAATTCTTCTTACTTTCAGTCATACAATTCTTATAATATTAGTTTTGAGAATTTAGTATTGGATCAACCAATTGTCCCAAAATTGATATTTTTTTATTCTCATCACCTATCTGGTTGATATTGTATTGATATTGTGAGGAGAAATTCTGTCTTGGTCACTCATGGGAGTTAAAGGGTTAACTGGGCTCAATTTTAAGTGGCCATGCTCCCTAAGATTTATATTGCATGTTAAGTTAACATCATGAAAAGTCAGGGAATTTCACAGGCAAATTTAATTCTTTGAAAGAAGTCATGGAAGAGTAAGGTTTTAAGTAAATATGAAGTCATTTAACTTTGGTTAAGCCCTCTAACATGTATTTACATTACATTGAGTTTAACTTGTATTTACTCATGTTGATATGTAGACTGCTAGCCATTAAATTTTAATACGTTCTAATTTAATAAAGCTATTAGAGTGAATAAAGAGAGTAAGTTTCTAAAGAAACTGTGGAACTGCATTGGTTCGGTAGTTGCAAGATAAGTTAGTTTTATCAACTTGAGTTGGTTAAATGGCTGCCTTAGGAGTTAAAAGTGTTTGCTTTGCTAAGTGTTGGAAACTAGGGATTCTATCATGCTAAATGGTCTAGTTATTTACATCAAAGTTTATAAAAGTTGAACAGGATGTACATATTGTCATGATATTCTTTTTTGATTGATAAATCCTTCTACACGTAAGAGCCTGACACCCTCTTTGCTGCATGAGGTACAAATTGTTCATTAAATGAGTTCTCAATGATGTTTATCAAAGCACAATAATGGTGTCTCAAAGTAATGACATGGTCTATCTGCTGCCTATACTCTTTTGTCTGGGAAGAGCTAGGTGCTGGTTTTATCGCATTTGAGCAGTGAGGTTGCTAGTGTGGATTTTTACAACCTTGTCAGTGAATATTTTATCATGCAATTGTTCATATGTTTAGGCATGTAATTGGACTCTCTTCATGGTAATATGGGTTGAACTTGAATTTTCCTTGCTTGTAATGTTTCAGTAGCCTTGGTAAGGTAACACTTTTTGTCAAGACTGATGGTGTGGGATGTAGCCTGGAATTGTGACATCATAGTACAACAGTTGAACAGGAACCCACCAGAACCTGGACAATGTTATGATCCATTGAATGTTTTTAGACATGCCCATGTATAGTTCAACATTTAACCTACAATTTAAGAGAAAAATGAAGGTTAAAATTTATTATCTAAAGGCATGCAAAGAGCTGCCTTGAGCACCAAACTGTTTTGAACCCAATTTAAGCTAACATAGTGCATATGATCTCTTGTTAAAGATGGTAAATCAACAACTGCTGCATCTTAAGAGTCACCTTGAAAACGATGAATAGTTTTTGCACCAGCTGGTCTTGATAGAAATTGTTGGCAAATAATTTTCACTTGACTTTTCTTGTTAATCCTGAATTGTCTAGTGACCTCCAAAATTGGTGTCCAGTTTTTTTTCATATTCTCCTTGTGATAAAGATGGCAGTTTTCTTGGCTGCCAATGCTTGGATCAGAAAAAGACACCCATGTAATACTTGGTCTGCTAGAGTTCCCTATGCTTTCTATAATACATTCTGCACCACTTGTCAAACCATCAGTGACATCATTATTGGTTGTTAAATCACATTTTGCTGTTGTTGCTCTTTGGACAAGTGAGTATAAGCTCATAGTTTTAGTTGGGTCATCTGGGACTTTCGCTCTCATTTGCTTTTTAAGATCATCTGAAATATCCCCAGTGACAATGTCTACTGCTTTGATCTGTCCTTTATCGGTATTCATTGAAATACATATATTGTTATTGTGGGAATTGACTGATACATTTATAGTGAACAGATAAGTGATACTTTTTGGATACTTCTGGAGTCATATTATGGAAGACAAAAATAGCCCCTGTTGGGGAGGTAGATACGCGGGCTCACTTTCGAAGGTGCAAACAACTTAGTTTGGCCAGTTCATTCACTCAATAATTCAGCGACTACATTGAAGAATATAATGTCTCCCTAAGGTGTTTTATGTTGTCATTTTTTTTATCCCAATAGTATGAAATTAATAGATAAAGCATAAAAATTGACATCATCAACAGTCGAAACATCTTATAATCGCTTCTAGAAGCTCGTCGCAAAACGTTCGAAAAGTAGTGTTTCATTCACCGTTCACTCGCCCATTTATCTCTTATCTAATTCTCAAGCATATACACGAGTAAACTAACTTGGTGTGCATGTTTTAAAATTGCATGTGAAAATTAGGTGGTGCTTCTAAGGTGGCACAAGAGATCATAAACTCGTGGGTGGTGGGGATATCCTAAGTTCAAGCTAGAGTATGTCCTGGTGATAGCTAGGTATTCAGTATCCACAGTTTTCTCTTTCGTCTTTCTGAATTGTGTAAAATAACAGCTGAAATACATAATAGCTAACACATTTTCGGGTCATTATTTTCAGTGATAGCCTCGTTTCTACTAACAGTGATGACATTTTCAATGTTTCAATCATTTTCTCTCGTTCATTTTTATTTTCCGCCGTCCGCATCCTTCTTTTACAATCCCACTCATATTAGTTTCCGCTTTATCATTTTTCAGTGGTGTCTTGAAAGAGTGAAACAAGTTTTGCTAACCCATCTCAGATTGTGGTGAAAGGAACCCTAAGTGCAATTCTTGATCACTTACGACGAAACCCGATAGTCATAAGACACGAATGAAACCTAAATTCATGCTACATAGGTATATAACGTTAGTCACGACTGACATAAAATGGATAAGCTTCTCTCCCTGAGCTCAAAACTCACCGTCTCTCTTATTCTATTTATAACAAAATTCTCGAGCGTGATTGGCTATCACCAGTCCGATTTATAATGTCCCATAACCATAACAAATCGGGCCGGTGATAACCAACCACGTTCGAGAATTTCGTCATAGTTTTGATTAATGTATAAATCAGAATAAGCAGTAGACGTCCACAAGGTCGGTCTGCCAGCCCATTGTTATTAGGTAAAGTTGGGAGATGAAGTCATTTTGTTGGCTGAAGGAAAGTGAGGAATCCAGGGAGAACCCTTTCTACAGATACAAGAATCTTTAAGATACTCAGCACATTGTTAACCTAGGTTTAAGAATGGAACCCAGACTACTAGGCTTGAAGGCAAGCACAGTCATCAATGCACCATCACTGTTCCCCAGAACATACTCACTTCAAGTGAAAGAATTCTGTCCACTTTATCAGATCAGCTATATCTCATACAGAAAAGTCTTGATGCCACATTGAAAAAATTTTAAGACTCATCATTTAACCATATGTTAGCTTTAATTTTTACTTCAATTGTTGACATTTAACATCAATTACTGGTTCAACAATATTTTATATCTAACGCTACTGTATTTGGACAGTTTAGAACAAGGGACATCCCAATTTGCAAAATGATACAAAATTGGCACAAATTAGCAAGTATTTTAAAAAAAAATGTCAGCAAGCAGCTTTATACTTTCACCCTTGAGAATTGTCAGTACATGTAACTTCTATTCATAAGAAGTAAATTATATAAAAATTTTTCCTAGGAAAGCTCTGATGCTTTAAGTATTGATGCTAAACAGTCAATGATTCTCAATTGAATATAAATCTTATCTTTAATCTACACATGGTTGGTTTATGTGAATGTTATATTTTGATGTTCTTAAATAGTAAACAGCATTTAAGTTTTGTCAGACATATGAGCAGACTTCAGACAGAATGATCAGTTTTCCATACTGTCTTCATGACAGCTGCATATGATAATACTTGTCTAACAGTCCTATCACATCGTACAGTAACATGACAACTATGAACATGAAAGGAAAAAAAACGCTTCTATCGCAAAACTAGCATAATAAAAAACAAATGTTGGTAAAAAAAAAAACAACAACAGACCACCGATTAGTAATGTGCAAAATGCTAAAAAAATTTTTTTAAGTCCCAACAGGGTCAGTACAAATTTTTTTCTGAGTGTTGAAAGTAATCTAGGATCGGGTAGGTTTAGTCTGTGATTGGTAACCATCTTAATGACAAACCAAGAGCTAAACTAAAATATATGTGGCAAAGTGACTGACACAAGAGCACTCTTGATGTATCTGCTTGGTATTTTCTGTTAGTGTACAGACTTTGAGTCCTCGTTGGTTCATTGGGAAGGTTATCTCTGCTCTGATCCCCTGAGGCTATAACTTTAATTTGGTTCAACAGCACTCAATAGGAAAGAGATCTGAACACTTCTAATTTGTGATTCCTAATTGACTACACCCCATGCACTATTGGAATTTCCCATTTATTCTACTATCTTATACTCACAGCAGGGTATATGTTTTAATTCAGATTGCTTTTCAATCAATTTTTTTTAATCAATTTTGTCATCATTACAATATATTTTTCAACAAGGAAAATGTAGTTGACAAGATTGATATTGGCTGATATATTGAGTTAAAATAATCTTAAGATTCCCATATATTGATCAAAATTATAAATAACTGCTTGCTGAGGTAAAAGCAGGATTATATACAACACTGTGTAAACTATTTTCAAAATGTTCACAGAACAAGTTTTGTTTACAGAACACTAACTTCAGTCAATGGTGATTCAGAAGAGCGTTCTTCAATTTCTTGTTTTTGGCTGCCTAGTCATTTCTTTTCATCTGGCAAAAATCTGCTCAGAAAGTCAACGGGGAGTGGGAAAATAATAGTGGAATTCTTCTCAGCTGAGATGGATGTCAATGTCTGCAGGTATCGCAGCTGAAGAGCAGAGGGTGACTCTGAAATGATGTCAGCAGCTTCCTTCAGTGCACGAGATGCATTTTGTTCACCTTCAGCAGCAATGACCTGAAATCAAACAATGGTCAATAATATAATTTCCTTGGTAAAAGCCTTTTCTTTCTTTTAAAATATAATCTCATTGTTTGATTGACATATCATACTGAAACAAGCCTTTTCAGAATTTGGCACCATCCTCGACAAGTTAGCTGATATCTACCTTTGCACGAGCATCACGAGTAGCTTCAGCCTCTGCTGCCATGGCTCTCTGCAGTTGTTGAGGAAGACGCACATCTTTCCTACAAGGTTAAATGAGTACATATTGCTACTAAGGATGTTCTGATGAAAGTTGCTAGCAAAAATAATTTCTGTTCTCAAGAATTACAGGAGGTAATTTGCATAACCAAGGACCCAAACTTCACACTCAGTCACATTCACCAAACTCATGTAAAACATGCATTGATACTTTTCCACACTTAATCAAAACTGTGAACAAAGAGAAATCAAGATGGCTTCAAAGAGTCATAGTTTCATGTAAAAAAAAAAAAAAAAAAAATATATATATATATATTTTTTTATATCAATAATTTACTTCCGAATCTTCTATTACATCATCACTAATAGCAGACAGAAAGTTCTTTCAGAAAGACTAACCAGTTCAATATGTAATAAGAAGTATATCCCCTGTTTTAAATCTGTACACAAAATTGACTGCCATAGCTCCCAGATGGAGAGTAGCGCTTTTTCTTCCCACTTGGATGGTGATTCAGTATTCTTCAAGATAACAATCTATACTACGCACTCAAAGCTCTATGCTCAGAAATTTTAGAGTGCAAGAATTACAAATTAAAGTACTTACACTTCAACACGTTCCACTTTTACACCCCAAGGATCTGTGGCAGTATCGAGAGAAGTCTACAAAGTGTAACAAACAAATAAATCCCAGTCCACTTATTTCCAAGAGACATAAATTAATGATTCCAAAATTATGTCTGTACCTGCATAGCATGGCTGATCTCTTCACGGTCTGCCAAAATTTCACTGAGATTTTTGGTGCCAAGGAAATTTCGCAGTGTTGTCTGTGCAAGCAGACGAGTTGACTGATCAGCCTTTTCCACATTAGTGACTGACATGGTTGGGTCACTGATGCGGAAGTAAACAACTGCATCCACTGCAACAGTCACACTGTCTTTGGTCAGAATCTGAAAGCCAATGTTGATACTTGGTTATTATCAAAACTAACAGCACTGTCACTATAGACCACTCTTCAAACAACAAATCATACAACCTAGATAGAACTGTCAATACCTCCTGAGGTGGGACATCAAATGACACTGTCCTCAAATCCACCTTCTGATAAGAGTCAATACAGGGCAGAATAAAGAATAACCCTGCACAAAAATAATAGTAAGAAATGATCAGAGGATATAACAATATATGATACACAAAACAAAGTCTATTGTTTATTTAAAACTGGAATTGATGATGTGGTCTGATCATTCATGCCAACCCAAATCGGAATAGTTGCAAGTGACAATCACTATTCATTTCTTATGGTTAGCTTCCATATACAACCTATTACTTTAAAACTGTACCAATATTAATAACTGTGAATAAACCAAAATCATGCATGTGAACTGCTGATTATGTAATGAATATGAAAGCAATCTTCACAGTAATGATCACTTCCTAGGTAGTAGAGAATATAAAGCCCACACTACTGGCTTTCATGTTCATATTCATATTCATTTTAATTCAGTACCAGTATTGTTCCACCATCAATCAAGAACAAGATAAGGATCTATACAAAACTCTAATCAGATATGATACCAATTTTCTATTATTACACATATTATGGTCTAAGATTTACTTCCTATTCCTCTAAGGCAAAGCTTTTTAATTCAAGTTATTCTTGCATTATACCTGGCCCTTTAGCTCCTCCAGGAAGTAATCGACCAAGACGGAACATAACCGCTCTCTCATATTCCTGCACAATCTGTATACAAAATCATCCCTTATTGTCATAAGTTTATGCATATTTCTCACTGAAAGTTGTCTTAATTACATTTATATCAAGTATGATGAAAACATATAAGGCTAAGTTCAAGAGGCACATACCAGAGCACTCATGATCTACATTCACCAATTTGCTTACCTTCAAAGTAAAACACAATGAGAAAGGCAGAGTACAAATAAAGATAAGGAAAGACAAAACTGTCAGAACATAGTCACAAAACCCTCTTGAAACATCATCATCTATAAAAAAAACCAAGCAAAAAAAAACAATCAACAGAAACATTTACCAATTCACCAGCTCTGATTTTAATTTTTCCAGGATACATAACAAATGAATAAAAAAAATTGAAATTGACAAATTCAAGACAAAATACAACAGCAAACCACTAAGAGATCATATAAGGAAAATGCCCTACACAAGGCTGTAAAACAACTACACAGCAGAACAGACTTCATAATGAAACACTTGACCAGTAGATACCATCGCTTGCATAGGAATAGAGACAACTCAGTGGAAAGGTCATAGTCAACACTGGAAGTGACTTTACTAATAAACACTCCATTACAATTGCAAAAGATACAGTTGTTAAATTGTTAAAATATTCATCAATCCTAAACAATACAATGATATACTACACGTACACAGCTACTCTGAATATATTTTTTATCTTGCCAAGGAAGGTTCTTACCTAATAACAGTACAAACTATCTGTGGAAGATGGCTTGTAGCTTTGATTTTCATAGCAACACAATGTACACAAACGAATGAACCCAAATATTATGCAACCTGAAGCCACTTTAGCTTGAAATTAACAAGTGCAATGGATGAGGTCAGAGAAAACTATTCAAACTATTATAAAAGTTGAAGCGATTTGAAAACTTCAATTGCACCGCGTCTGATATCATCACCACCATCTTCAGTTTCACAACTACTGTCATATACAAACCTAACATGCTCATGTTGAAGCAACGTATTTAATGCGCACCATAATTAAACGATTCTGCAGGTTTCATTTGTTGCAGCAATTTCCTACATGATCCATGTTTAGCACTTAACGACCCCACAATAATGATGGTTCCTCTTTTAACCATTTTCGGCACAAACGCAGGGAAGGAAATGAGGTGATATTTCAAGAAACGCATGTTTGACCGCACATAAATCATCGAGCGAGTTAGGATCGGGTAATGTTAATTAATTTGCAAGTAACAGCAGCATCATTCACTTCTGGTGTTCTGTTATGTTGAAGTGAGATGGTTTTTCAACGTAAGATTTAATCAAATTTTCTTGAAACGACATGATGATTCGAGTAGATAATCCCAGAACTTTGTGCAACAACAAACTTGAATGGTATATGTTGAAGAAACGATTAACTTTTGCCTCAGAGTTAGCTAAAAACGGAATTTTCGGGTCGCTTTAACGATCTTAATCCATTTTTTACCCCCATGAAGTCTAAAAATTGGCGCTGAAATTCCACTGACATGAAATTTAATTTTCTCATTTCTTTTAACCTTAAAGAGGACTTTAATTCTTACCTTCCGAGGCCATTTTCAGGGAATTTGTAGTCGTAGAAGGCAAGACAAGGCAAGCTGCGATTGCAAACAACTCAGACTTCAACCCAGCTACATCACGTGATATATACTCCTCCCGAGGGACAACCAATCATATCCAAAGGTGTCAAAATATCAATTTCTCTATTTTTTAGTTGTCATGGATATATCTAAAATATTTATAATTTTGGCAATACAAAAGTTACAAAGCTATTTTCGTTTCTTTGATGAGGAAATCTCAGTTGGTAATCCTTAAAAACATTTTTCACTTTTACCCCCAGTAAAACGTGCGCAGGTGACACTAAGCGAACTGCACGACCTAAACACAAATACATAAATTAAAATTTTAACACAGTAACTCAACATACCCACACGCCAATTAAAAGTAGGGTTTCTTATTTTGTTATCATCATACAACCAACCCAAATGTGTTCTTTTGCCCAAACAAAATTATAGGTAATGTACAGTTTTATAAGTGCCTCTGCATTTTTCCCCCCCTAATTTTAGGCTGTAATTCATTAAGAATTTCCTCATTAAATCATGAGTAGAACACAGAACCCTTACATCAATACTATTATCTTGTCATACTTCAAACAGTTTTCAGTTCAAAATTTGCTACTTTTTAATGGATCCACAAGTTTTTTTCCCTTGTTCATGTTTCGGTCTGGTAAAAATTTAAACAGAATAAGTAAAATATCATTTAAACAGAATAGGAATTTTCCCTTTTACTCAAATTAATCTGAATCTTGAAAGAGGAATGATGTAAATCATATTAAGGATTAACAGCTATGAGACTCTGTTGTACATGTGTGGAACAAAGGCCTGGATCAAATTTCTATTGGACTTTGGTATTTGTCAACTGATTTCTTTCTTGAGACTCAAACTAGAACAATAGGTTTGTGCAAGGCAGAAATAAAGAACAAACTATGTATTCACACTGTCTGTTTGAAGACTGCTAGCTGCAACTTAGATTGTAAATAATGATATATTTTTTAATAAAGAGTCAATTCTAGGCTTCATTGATTGTCTCCACATTGTAGGATAACACAAGCAATTGACAGCATTGTACTTAAACCAAGGAGAAGAGATTGAACTTCCAGGTGAAAATGAATTGGGACAACCATAACATGGCATGATTCTTTATATGTTTATTATGCTATTATGCAACACAGCATGTCTACAATAGATGTTTAGGCCAGTCTATGAACCAGCCCCCCAAAAAAATTACAGCTCACCACTTTTAACATGTGATATGTTGGTGGAATATCTTTTTGTGCCCTTTCAGTGTCTGATAGAATAGAGACCTTTGAATTTTAACAGTAGTGTTCCAGCCTGACAAGGTGATAATCTTAACACTATACATGAGTAAGCACATACATATTCTCAATGCTAACAACATAACCACATAACATTAACTTTAAAAAAAGAAAGTAACACAACTTTTTTCTACTTGAAAACAAACTAGTACAGACTCTTAGAGTCCTCTGATCAGAATTATCCTAATTATCACATTTCATAATATTTTCTATTTACTAAATCAATAGGAACTGTAAGCCCATCAGAATTGATTAGATAAAAATGCTATAATTGTATATTGCATGACCCTTGCCATAGGACTGTTTCTAGCATGTCTGTTATTGAGATGTTCCAACGTCAATCAATTTTTGACCATTACACATTTCTAAAGAAAAAGTTGAGAAGTACATTTATTCAACATACATTGTTAACCCTGAGTAAATAAGCTTATGTCTAATGCAGAAATATTACTCATATAAACTGAAATATGCATTCAGAGCTCAAGACTAACTCCTAAATTACTCAGATGTTGGCAAGCACTACTAATTAACAAGTTAGAATGGCTATCATGGTCACTTAATTTTTGGTGGGGATCTGCACTTTTCATCCCACTAAACTAGATTTGAATAGAGCTCATAGACACTAAAACTGCAATCATGTGGAAGGAATAAACTAAATAAATGAAATATCTTTGAAAGCATCTATCATGTTATTTCTGTTTCATCAGTAAAAGAATCCATAATCCAGTCCGTCCTATGATGGGGTTGTCACAGGCTTTGCCCAGTTTGCAAGTACACGAGAGAAGTAGCTGGCTTACCATAAAAGGCACTGCATCAATCATGATCAACTGGAAACATGTTTTTTTTTTGGCTCCATTTGCATTTCTGTTATACTGATAAAGAATTGTTTCTTTCACAAATATGTACAACAGAAGAAATTAAAAAAAATCTAGCTGCCATATAATGTGAAATTATCACTACTACATGATTTGTTCTAGTTAATCTCAAGCTCTGAATCTTAATGTTCCTTTATGATAAAAAGCACTGATATCTATTTTGAATAATCAACTATCTTGCAGTGATGCAAGTTTTTTCTCATTCTTTGTTCTCTTGATTTCATTAACCTTTCTTGTCTGGTAAGAATCTGCTCATGAAATCAACAGGGAGAGGAAATAGGATTGTGGAATTCTTCTCAGCTGAGATTGTTGTCAATGTCTGTAGGTATCGCAGCTGAAGAGCAGAAGGAGACTCTGAGATGATGTCAGCAGCTTCCTTCAGTGCACGAGATGCATTCTGTTCACCCTCAGCAGCAATAACCTGAAATGAAAAGAACACCTCACCATATGATATTTTTTCTAATCTTACAGCTTCATCTATTGAAGTATCTTTGTTTTTATTTTATTTAATTTCTGATATTCAAAGTCATTTAAGTTCAGTATCACCTCTTAACTAAACACCAATAACCTGAATATACAGATCACTCAATTTTATAATCCAAGTTACGAGTTATAATACAAAAGCTTGAAATTAGAACCGAATCTATAAATCTAGAATGACTACTTCACGTCAGCTTCCTTTGTAATCAAAGGGAGCCTATGTAAACTTAAAAAAAGGCAGCTCTTACATATAACTAATAAACTGTAACACTGATGACCTACCACAAAACTGAGATTTCTTACTAATGAAAAAATTTCATACCTTGGCACGAGCTTCACGAGAAGCCTCAGCCTCTGCTGCCATGGCTCTCTGTAGTTGCTGAGGAAGACGTACATCCTTCCTGTAAGGTACATGTTATGTCAGTCATTTTTATTCATTTATTTTCTTTTTTTTAAGGGGGGGAGGGGCATTTTCATGTACAGCTTCAAGTTAAAACTAGGAACCAATTTAAAAAGCTGGATAAAGCTTTAACTTACACTTCCACACGTTCCACTTTAACACCCCAAGGATCAGTTGCTTCATCAAGTGAGCTCTAATGAAAAGAAAACACAAGATATGATCCACACAACTTTCCTTCATGCACAACATTTAAGTTACTCAAGTTATCAAGGGTTTGATCATTATTTCATGAAAGATCACAAATGACTTATTTCCACTGTTTATGTAAACAAGACAAATAGTTCCACACATTACACAGCCTGTATCAAAATATTAGCTTCAACTTGTTTGACTGTTAAGGGTGATTCTTGCCTTTAAAATGCATTCAAGAATAGCTAATATAACCATTGTGTCAAACTTCGGTTTGGCAGCAAAAAAATTATTGGAATCTTCCAATGAAGTCAGCAATTTGCTTGCCATTGATTTCTCAACCTGTTACAGCTTTAAAATTCTTAATTAAAATATACAGCAATGATCCAGACTCAGATTCTGTTATCACCTGCATGACATGACTAATAACTTCCCTGTCAGCCAATATCTCACTGAGATTCTTGGTTCCCAGCACATTTCTAAGGGTGGTCTGAGCTAGCAGACGTGTGGAACGATTGGAATTTTCCACATTGGTGATGGACATAGTTGCATCATGGATTCTAAAATATACCACAGCGTCAACAGCAACAGTAACACTGTCTTTTGTCAAAATCTATAATAAATCAAAGGCACAACCAGCTGATCAGATTGGAAGTGGCTAAAAAATACACTAAGTACCACATATGTCCTACAGAAAAAAATCCAACCAAAGGGAACACATTATAAATGACATCATTATACATTAGACTTCTTATGAAACTCCAATTGGTCAAGAACATACAGTCAATCTACAATAGAGTGTGAAGTTAATGTGATAACCCAATATCTACACCAGATAATGGGTTGTAATGTCGAGTTTAAAATTTGCCTAGTTTCCAAGCTCCTCATCTGTGTAGTGCTCTCAAAGTTTTGCAAACTCAGAAAGAAGTGTCTTCTTTAGCAGACTGTTTAACAATATTTATATAATATTTGGTACAAATTTCTTAGCCCACAAAAAATTTGGTCATGCAACGCTGCTTGCCATCCTCCTTGCCAGCTATTGTAATATCTGGAGCTCACAACACCAATCATGTGCTCGCTACTTGTTAATGTCAACTGCATGTGCTTACAGTCTCTGAATGCAAGGGGTCTGGAAGGATCCTAATCTATTACAATAACAAAACAACTATTGAATTTGTTTTTGCATGATATTATAAATTATCAAACCTTGTGTCTGTGTTATCTGCCTCAGCCTTCAGCTTTGGCAGGTAACTCACACCTTGGCATCTATAACTCATGAAATCATGCTCAACCTCATCCAAAACTTACTTATTATACCCAGCATTTTTCATCTTATAGGCTTAAGTTTAGAGTTTATTTCACATCAATTTAACAATGTCCATGAAACAAAAGCAAAATAAAATCATTTGAGCCTGAATTTTTTTCAGCTGTGCCTCACTAATTCTCTCAAGCACTCAGGTTTGTTAGCCAAAGGTTACATCACTATCAGCAACTAAATCATTTTACTAAAATTTACAAAAATGTTTCAATGAACATTTCCAAAAATCATCATCTCTCCTGCAAATGCTGTAAACAAGAATTTACCAAACCACCAGGCAAATATAAACATAAACTTTTTTTGTCATGATTGTAGAGAAAATCACTATTAAGGATGACTGCATAAGCACTTGATTCTTTTACTATCTTTACCACAACTGTGGTTACCTCTTGTGGTGGAACATCAAAGGACACTGTCCTTAGGTCAACTTTCTGATAGGAGTCAATACAAGGCAGAATAAAGAAGAGACCTAAAATAATGCCATAAAAAATTA